TTCTCGGACACCATTCAATTATGAGAGAAATTTCAGACAAAGTTGTGACCTTGACGTCAAGGTCGCATCCAACGGGCACTGTGTTACACTTTGAACCCTTGACATTTGTCTGTGTGCTCCTTGCCCCACTCTGTTTCTTGTCACTCATGGAAAGTGGTACTGTCACCTCCACAAAAGCCAAGACTCACACTTTGAACGTCTCAGGTCTGATGGACGTGCAAAAGGTGGTTATAAGTATTTCAATCCTACTCTGTTCCTCTTATCCAATCACATCAACTTTTTATCCTTCAGTTACCTATAAATAGTACCTCTACGTACCCTTTGTGTGATGCTCATGCTTCCATATTTTGTAAAGGTCTCAACGGTACCAATGACTATGAGTATCAAGTCATACTATCCGCCTATGCCAATAAAGCAAGCCTGCTTCAAACCAATGGGGCCTATGTCATGAAGTCCACAATGATTGCACCAAATCTAGAAGATAGTATTCCATTGCTGTACTATGAAGCTGATCATGTGATGCTTGTTACTACATCCCCTACTACACTCAAGAATTGAAGTGCATGATACTGAAGGAAAACAACCAGGACAATTTTGTAGAAGTGGTATCTTTTTTTACACACTTAGAAGGAGGGATGTTTGGCTTTCCAGCTCTATTTCATTTGGTTAACAAAGGAGATTGGTAGGAGGATTTCATATCTATGGCTCTTCTAAACTTGTAAAATTGCTGGTAATACCTTCCTTCCTCACCATGTCCTTCTATGATGTGGATAATGGTAGTTAACACAAGTTGCTCAAAATGTAGTGATTTATACAACAACTGAAGCACAAACATAAGCGTACAAAATTGGCTCAAAATTTGAGCATTCTCTGTAAATCTTTGAAATTGGTGATACTGTGGCGAGAGTGCCCGCATGTTCTCTAGTTGAGCAAAACATTGTAAGATAGCTGTATTACACCAGATCATGTAAGTAAAAATCAAGTATAAACTCTAAGAAAACTCATTGAAAGGACTATCATTTGGCATCATGAATTGGAAATTTGTAATTTCCATAGACTAGGACATCTGTTCAGAATCTAAACACTGAGCCTCTGGTTAAACTGGAGAAGAAAGGATTGGTTAGGAACCATCAGGGTGTGTTGGGTTAGGGGTCAGGCTTAGGCTTAGGGCAGGATACACTTCAATTCACACAAGTTTCACAATGCAGTCATTCAGTGTGCAGTGCAAAAGGGACAAAAAAAGTTGTGCTTAAGCATGGGTGTCGCTGTAAGCGTGCCACATCCTCAAAATATTGTGGGTGTCCCCCAGTTATTCTTCAGGTTGTGACGGGAATGCCAGTGCAACGCCCGCTGCCTAATTGTGCTAGTAAATATTACAAGTAAAGTGAGAAAAGAAACTTTGGCACTTGTTTAAAAGATGAAATGTTTTTGTTCCTCGGGAAAAAAATTATTGTGTATTGTGCGCAAGTAGGATGAGAACACCTTTTGTCTTTGGTCCAGACCCAAATCTTGGGTAGGGAAAAGTGTAGAGAGCTTGCAAGATCGCTTCCTGCAAAGGGGGCATTTCTCAGGCTATGGAGCGTACAAGTTTGTCATAAGTCCCTTGCTCGACGCCTCGCGAGTATGCGCGAGCATCAGACTTTTGCTAAGTTTAAGTTAAGACTCGAGTGAAAGTGCGATATGTGAGGAGGGTGTGGTGAGAGTGATTTAAATGGGGTGTTGTGTTGTGATATGATGTGCGTGGATGGGTGCGGTGTTATGTTGTGAATTTTGAGCAGTCAGTTAATTTTAGATAGTCCCTCGATTAATTTTCAACCCACGATTGCGGGTACTCTGAATTTCTCCCATCCCGTAAATTACATGTCCATGTAGTTCCCCCTTCCACCATTACAACGATGGAAGTACCTTACCACGTCGTGCCTTTGGTGGGAAGTAGCAATCAAGGAGTTGAGGTGCAGTTTGTCATTATATCATGCACAAATTAGTTCAAAGTCGCAAAAAAAAGCGGTAATCAATCACGACTTGCAAGTTTACGAAAATACGATCGCTTGTTTGACCTTCACCCACATTCGTCATAACCTTCCTTCAACCGAACATTTACCTCGACTATCTGGCATTTAAAGGGATACCGTACATTTATCTGAGAAGGACTTCGGCGACGACGATGCTGATGATAGGGAACGTTCATTAATGTATCCTCGTGGAAGGGTTAAAGTTCAATTTGAGTAGAGTAGCATCTTTCATCAGCTGAAGTAGATAACCAGACGGAAGAGGTAGAACAAACAGGTATCAAGAAGCGATCGGTTCAGGGTGGAAGCTATCACTTCAGCTCACCGCACTTTCAGCTATCCTTATTGCCTAAAACTATTTCAGTCAACTATCTTCAATTGCGACTGAAATTGATATTGATTGAAACAGTCCCACTTCCAAATCCTCTAAAAATGAATCAGACTGTGATCTATTTGATCTATTTATTTTCGATGTTGGGTTACTCAGAAGCAGGACTTCGAAATCATCATCACTCAAATCTTACTGATCATGGTTTCTTGACTAGAAGGAAGGAAAAAGTCAATCCAAAAGCGCCAAATGGTCTAGATGCTTCAAAGTTCAATCCCAAACTTACTAGTCAATGCAAAATGCCTTCAATAAAAAAAACGATTCGTGTTTCGAAGCCTACTATTGTCGCCGCTGGAAAGACGTTCGATTGTGAATTTACGAAATATCAACGTACTGATACTCATTGCAACCTGGATCATGAAAGAGGTGACGAAGCTGCCGTCTTCATTCTACAACACGGGGCGACTTTGAAGAATTGTATACTTGGTTACTCGCAAGAAAGTAAGTCCCCTCAAGTAAGTTTGGTGTACAGAATTGAAATTAGAGGACTGACAATTTTAATTGTTCATCTATGTCAGGTGTGCATTGCAAAGGTCGTTGTAGAGTCGAAAATTCACATTGGTTACAAATTTGTGATGAAGCGATCAGTTTTCATATGAAAAGTGGTTCAGCAACTGTTAGCGGTTGTTCATTTTCGAACGCAGGTAATAAGGTAAATCCATCTCATATAGACCTCTGCCTCGAAAGCTTCATGATAAGATGAAATATTGATAAAAGTGTTCATTCTGCGCCTAATTGTTTCGATCCAGGCTCTGCAGTTCAATGGGTAAGGTCATCTTTTGTAGTCGGTGATGTTGTTTTTGAGCTGAATTTACTTTTCTACAAATGTAACATGTTAGTGGAGGAACACTATTTGTTCAAAATTCTTGTTTTTACAACGTTGATATTGGTTATCGGTGAGTTGCGTTGTTTTTCAATTTATGCAAGTTCATTTGATTAATTTATTATGCATAAATAGTTCATGTGGTAACTGTAAGAATACTTCCAAAAGAGCGGCAGTATTTAAGAATGTCGACCTAAAAGGTGTAAAAACCTTTGCTGGTTATAATCATAAACATGGTGATACTGTGGATATTCAAAGTTATACTGGTAAGCCTGCCCAGACAATGTGTGAAGCCAAGGATGCAAAGAATGGGAAGGGGGGCAAGGATGCAAAGAATGGGAAGGGGGGCAAGGATAGCAAGAAAGGCAAGGGGAGCAAGAAAGGCAAGGGGAGCAAGAAAGGCAAGAGGGGCAAGGGTAGCAAAAAAGAGAAAGGGCAGGGGGGCCTTCCACCAGGGTCAGTTGTTCAGTCGCAATAAAAAAAAACAGAGTAAACTTGAGGTTTAAGTGCTAATTTGTTCATTTGCTATCCTTTAGATGTAAAATTTCATAGCATCTGACAGCAAAGTCGGATATTAAATCAATCGATGATCTCATCGAAAGGCGGTCTACAATAAAACGGTCGAACAGGATGTCGCCAACTTTTTATCATTATTTTTCTAACCTTACTCATGATTCCGATGAGTCTCTCTCTTTGGTGATTTAGTATAAGTCATCGCTGTGCGATGTTGCTGCTTTCCTGCACAATTCAATACAACTCTATTGATCCTTTCGGCCATCCAAAGTTTTTTTCAAAGGGCTTCATAGTGTCATGATGTTGTATAATTGTTTGGAATTGGCTTTAATCTTGTCATTGAGGGAAAATTACATCTTCAAATTCAATCTTCTGGTGAGGGAGCGAGCTTCATGATGGTATGGGTGAGTAGACCAAGTCAAAGTAGGACACATTAGCTGATTAGATGCTCTCAGACACCGTGTTGGATTATGTTGCTTAGAAAAGCTCAAGATCCAATACCCTACGATGAACAATTCCAGTGATCCAGAGCACGACTGCGGCACAGACATCGCGTGCAGCAGTCAACAATACCCAAACCAGACTCACTCTCAGATTCCACATCATTTTTATGTTTCTTTGCCTATACGTCGTTGTTTCTCTACTGCTCACTACACCTATAGGTGATCTCGTTGACGATCGAATCGATCGAGCGACCATATGTCCTTGTTCTAGAGTGCAGGTAAAGTCAGAAAACCTAATCATCAATCGTATACATCTGGCGTGTCTTGATGAGATAAATGAGAATCCAGCTCTGTGCAGGTCTCAATCCCATCAGATCAGTCCCTATAACTTGATATGCCTATACCGATTTCACCATGCGCGTTCACTCAGATCAGTAAAGATCGCTCCGCAGATGTACTGAGCACGTTCATTGGAAAGTGGATATCACTCCGCAGATGATGCGTGATCTCACCATACCCCGACAAGCCCTTGTGTATATTTAGAGTTTGACTTCAGGAATTTCGTCTATCTCATTAACGCAGTCGACTTTTGAGACGAAGTTGAGGGTGATGGTGGTCAACACGAGTGTCGAAACCCCACAGGCCTGAATTTGCAAACAGGGAAAGAGTATAAATAGTCTAGCTGTTGATGAAGAGGGGGCGGTTGTTTGCACCCAGTTCATTAGTTTTGTCATTTCCTTTCTTTGACTTCTTGATTTGCTTGATTTGCCTGATCTTGAGGATTTCTTCGATTGAATTTCTATTCGAGCGCAATAGGAACCAACATGACTTTCAAAATCCGTATATTTATCATTCAAGTCTTGTCTTTCAATTTGTCAGATTTTTTAAACGCAGGCGTTACGGCACACAAGCTTTCTCATAAAAAACGTATACATTCATTAAATCGTCGTAAAGTCTTACCATACGCTCCAGATGGTTTAGATACAACCCACTATGATGAAAGTCTCACAACTGAATGTAGTGTACCATCAATATCTAAGACTATAACTGTTTCTAGTCCTACTACCGTAGCAGCTGGAGAAACATTTGATTGTCAACTTGCTAAATATCAACACACTGATACTAGTTGTGATTTAGAATCAGAAAAGGGAAATGCTTATGCAGTTTTTTTACTTGAAGAGGGAGCTACTTTAAAAAATTGTTTCTTAGGATACTCTCAAGAAAGTAAGTCGATATGTTTCTCGAAAATCTCGATACCAAATTCTTATTGATTCCAATTTCTTATTGATAACTATAAAAACCTTTCATTTCTTAGGTGTTCATTGTAAAGGCAGTTGCACCGTTGAAAACTGCCATTGGTTAGAACTTTGTGATGATGGAATCATGTTCCATATGGATAGCGGTGAAGCAACAGTCACTGGCTGTTCGTTTTCGAATGCTGGCAACAAAGTGAGTTATCCATCTTATATTTTTTTAAGAGTGGATTCCCCATGTGATACACAGTGAGTTGACGAACTTCGAAACTGCCCTTTATTCAGGCTTTACAATTTAACGGGTGATTGTCTTTTTTTGACTTGTCAATTGAAAAACATCTTGATCCTGATCTTATTTTGTCCATTTATCATTGTGGTGCTTAGTGGAGGAACAGTCAACGTGGATGATGTGTGTTTTTACAATGTGGACATTGCTTATCGGTAAGTCTCAAAATATACTTCATCCATGACTCGCTCAGCTAACACCTGTTTCCCCTATTTTCTCACCTTAGCTCCTGTGGCTCTGGTTGCCGCTCTAGTGCTAAGCGAGCTGTGATATTCAATAACGTTGAGCTCAAAGGAGTTACTACCTTGGCTGGATTCAATCATGCAGACGGTGATACCGTAGATATTCGAAGTTATAGTGGACAGCCCGCCAAGGCAATGTGTCAAGACAAAGCAGCTAGCACGAGCGGGGATAGTGTTCCACCAGGGTGAGTGTGATGCTCCCTCGTGATATCAAATGGAAGATGATATTGATTTGTACGATGTTGCATCTCTCCAGTTGTACGATAGGCGGATCAAGCTCTTCCAATGATTCAACTATGCCATCGAATAGCTCCTCTACTGTTCCATCGAATAGCTCTTCTACTGTTCCATCCGCCTCCGACGACAGTTCAACCTCATCCGACACGGAATCAAAGGATAAATCGAAAACCGACAAATCCAAGTCTTCTACCGACAAATCCGATACTTCCACCGATCTAACTGATCCGTCCACCGAGAATTCTACGACTTCTACCGAAGAAACAGGTTCTTCCTCTGAAAGCGATGAAGCCACTGAGGAGACCAAGTCTAAATCGAAAAGATCTAAGCCTACCAAAAAGAGATCAAAGGACTCAAAATCTCCATCCATTCACACATAAGTGAGTGGTATTCATTAAACCGTCAATGAACTTTTCGGAAAGCAGAAGTCACTCATACCAATCAGACTTTACCTTTTTCGCTTTCAGGTGATACTGATTACGAATTTCATATTTTCTCTTTCATTTGTATACGCTCTTGATGAGGCTTGTTGTCGAAGTGAATTATGTCGTTGAGGGATGTAGCTAGCTAGAGACTTTTGAATAAGAAAATGAACGATATTTCACAGACCGAAATATATAAACACATTCCTTCAAGAAGAGAGTGATACGCTCCATCGCCTACTTTGTACGCCTGAGCTTCCCCCTTCACCAAGATCTGAAAGCTCTTTATTCTTGTACGAGATGAGTAGCCAGACTCGTGATGGGCATTCATTCAGTTGACGTCCAAAGCGCGCTTCATACTTGGCTGATAAGTCCAACTGCATCGCCTTGTTTCAAATGTGATAGCCTTCTTTGAACTATATGCGCTCATGCTTCAGCCAAACATCATGTTCATTTGAAAAAGAGGAGTATATACCAATTTTTGTTCTCTATGTATGGCTTTTTATGCGTCAATCACACGCAAATGCGTTCTTGGACGACCTGTTGTAAGGGTCTGGGATGCAAACTAAAACGAGAAGATTAAGCAGTGGTCTGGCTTGAAGGGTTACTTTCTTTCCATCCACATCAGGTAAGCTCTCTTTCCATCCCTTTGACGCCCTAGTACCTGGAGTACCATCAAAACCGTACATATTTGAGGAAATGATTTTGATGTTAATTGAATGTTGGGGGGATCCGCAAATCCTTGCCCGAGCACTTTCGCCTGAAATGTAATGGTATGCCAAACCTGCTCAACTTGGCAGTGAGTCATCATGATTACATCGGAAAGTGCGTGACCAAAGTACTTACTAAATGATACATGCGCTCGCTCGCGCGCTTTCCCGCTTCCTCGAAGTTGGCACAGGGTGTTAACCAAGTGGAATATGCTAGGAGGGAAGTGTCACACAAGCAACAGGTGTCACGAGAGAAATACAATCTGTGAGGATGAGCAGCTAAGTGGCCCCTCGACAGATCACCCCAAGGAGTATGTCGAACCTCTGCTAACATCGAGGCACCAGGCCTAGTCGACTGCTCCATCCTCTGCTCCAACCATTGTACCCAACCCAGTTGTATTCAAAAGTTCAATAGAATAACATCATCATAACCCTTACCAATATTTCACTTACTCATTATTATCAAGTTATAGCGTGTTAATTTCCTTTAGTCTCTCAGTTTTGAATTATTTTTTATTTTTAAATCATGCAAAATGATCAACCACTTTCACATCAAGAAATTAATACCGCAAACGATGCGACAGATTCTTTTCAAAGAATCGAAACTATCCTTTTCGATTACGACAAATCCGGCGGAAGCCGAGTTATCCCAATGCGCGTCTTACGAGCGTTATTCTCGGAAGTGTTCTCTCCTACCGACGAAAATTTGGAAAACTTCATTTTCAACTTTTCGATGTTTGCCAGAGCTGCCATCGAGCTCGATACTAGGGCAGGTAGACCAATCTATAAAATGGTTGGAGAGAACTTCGCATGGCCATCCACAGCCAAAGCCCTTTTGGATGCAGAGCCGGCAGTGCTTATGTCCAAATGTGCCTTTAATCGGCCAGACGCAAACCAACCTTGGTTTTCCATCCCGGAATCCAGGCTTTCCGATATTACGAAAGCCAGTTCGGCGGCTAGACACTCAGGAGCATCAGGACCTTCCTCTTATCAACATAAAGGGAAAGGTCGTAAATCCAAAAGCCCCCGTCGCTCAAGGAGCCCTAGACGGCACTCGCGTAGAACTAGCCCAGACTATCATCGAAAAAGAAGCCCAGATCCACGTCGTCGTACTTCCAGGAGCCCTCCCCGCCGACGCTTCGCGTCTATCAACCAGTACAGATTGTCTCCCAACTCGCCGGACCGCTCTCGTCGGCGTCAACGAAGCCCACAAAGATCCTCCAGACGCTCCCCAAGTCCTAGACGGCAAAGTCGCCGAGACTTCAGCCCTTGAGCCTCGGGAAGTGGACGTCAACCCTCGCCAACGCGCCGTGAAGAAGAACCACCCACGTCGTCTAGTAGACGAACGCGTTTTGAGCCCCCGCACGACAGGCACGGGAACTCTTCTCTCCTTGAACGCATTGATTCCTCGATTTTTCATCGGGTCAACAAACAGCCACCACCAGTTCGCGTCCCTGAGAAACGACGTAGGGTATCTTCATCACCTGAACCCAGTTCTAACTCCCTCTTCGAAAAAGCCTTTCAAAAATTCGTCAACTCGGCTGGAAAGTCAACGAAAAAACTCGCCTTCCAGTCAGCGGAGCAGGATACTGACGATAAAATCAAAGATCCTATCGCCCGCAAGATCAAACATATCAAATTCGAATATAAAGAAGATATTAAGAGATCGGTCGAGCTTTTCGAAGCCTGTTCGGCTAAGCCTGACCAATGGCCTTCATCTCAATCAAAAGATCTACTTGAATACAAATTTGTTGACTTGGAGAAGGTTTATGTCGAAATTTACGGAAAGCCAGGGGCAATCAAAACTCTCAAAATCAACGAATCCAGAGATTTGGAGTTTGACGAAAAAATCAAGGGCATCCCTATCGAAGACAAAACCCATTGGCAACACCTCATCGCCATCTTGGATTACACTTATCAAGCAGCATTTCCCCCTGCCAAGGACAACATCAAAAATTATTTCGAGTACATTAACGAATTGGCAAGTGACCCTTTGACCGGCATCCACTGGAAGGACGTTCGAGATTTTGATTCGGCGATGCGCCTTCAATTCTCTCGTCAATCCTGGATCGCCTTCGGCAATTGGACTAACCCAAAACTCAAGTACTTGGAAGCAAAGATCCTCTACAGCAAAACTAGCCGTCTCGGCGAAGGGGCCAATATCGCAAAACCAAGAAGCGATAACAACACCAGCTCAACTCCTAAGAGCTCGTCGAAATCCTGGTCAAAACCAAAATCCAAACCAAGACCAGAGCCAAAACGAGCAAAGTCCAGACTCAACTTCCCATACGAGATCAAACAAGCTGGGAGTTGGAAAATTTCTGATCAGCCTTGTAATAACTGGAATTATAACATTTGCGCGAAGCCAGACGACGAATGCAGCAGAAGACATCACATATGTAACAAAATGGGATGCAATGCCAATCATAGAGGAATCATCGCTCACTTATAAACCGAACTCACGTAAATTCCTTCGAGGCTTGGAAATCGAAGATGAAGCCCAGCATTTCTCTGCCTCTGTCAATTTCTCTATCTCCACTGAACCCATGCCTGCAGCTCCTCCTCTTTCCGACGACCCACTAGCAGCATACGCCATACGCAACAGCCCGGATATTTTCCGGATTGTGTGTCCCGTTAACGCCTCACAAATCAAACTTATGACCGCCTCCCACCCAAATCAGCCTTTCGTCAAGTCTATCGTCGAAGGACTAGAACTCGGGTTCTGGCCCATGTGCCCACTCCCATCAGACGAAACTGTTCAACACAATAATCATGTTCACACTAGTGAAGGTCTCGACATCATCCGCAAGACACGAGACAAGGAGGTGAAATTAGGTAGATTCTCTGAAGGCTTCCATTCCCCATTTCGAGGAATGAAGACTGCTCCTCTGTGCCTGGCGACGAATAAAAATTCAGGGAAGACACGCATGTGCACAAATATGAGTTACGGTAACCCATCCCCAAATGACTTAATTGACAGAAATCAAATCCGTATAAAGCTAGACTCTATTGCCTCATTCATCCTGTCAATCATTCACCTTCGAACCCCTAGAGCTCTTGCGTCCATTAACAATTCTAAGTTTTTCTGGTCACGCCAAAGGAAACCGGGCCCAAGGAAGACTACCATCTGGAAATCGGACGTCGACGCAGCTTTCCGTATCCTGGGCATGCATCGTCAATGGCAATTAAGACAAGCCATCCGAATTGATGGTCTGAACCACATTGACCGCTGCGTCAATTTTGGATGTGCTAGCTCACCCAAAATTTGGTGCAGCTTCTTTTCGTTAATCTTATGGATTGCTTATTTCGAGTTAGGCATACAAGGCATCAACGCGTATATGGACGACTCCTGGGGATGCAGCTACTCAGAAGAGATGGTCTCGTTTAAAGCCCATGTAATCCCTCTAAACCAAGCCAAATTCCTTACCCTTTTCGATTATCTAGGAATTCCATGGGCCTGGGAAAAGCAGATCTGGGGATCGAAGCTAGAAGTCATCGGCCATCTAATCGACACGGACACCATGGTCATCTCTCTGACGGAAGAAAAACGAGTCGCACTCATCTCTCAACTGCGCCTATTCGCCAATTCGGTGTCACAACCTTTGGTCGAATGGCAACGTCTGACGGGTTGGGCGAACTGGGCACTCAATATCTTCCCATTAGGACGGTGGTCTCTCCAGTCCTCCTGGGACAAGATCGCCGGGAAAAATATGCGCAACGCTCACGTTCCTCTCAACAAGGCGACAAAAGAGGACCTATGCTGGCTGGCAGACGCTCTAGAAAACTGGGACGGTCGGCAAATCATGGAATCGTATCATTGGGAACTACAAGACACGGACATCGTATTTTTCTGTGACGCATACCCAACAGGCGTAGGCATCTGGAACCCAGATTCCAACAAAACCTGGGACTTGTACTTCCCGCCTCCGGCGAGGGATAACTACTGGTCAGAGCTATTAGCGGTAGTACTAGCCATCGAATTGGCCGTCTCTACAGACGCAAAGAAAATCCTCATCTTCTCCGATAATGAATCGGTATGCTATCTGTTTGGGTCTCACTCACCAACGGATCTCACTTGCATTTTGTTCAGGAACGCGGTAACAAGGATGTTGGAAAAGTCACTCAACGTGGTAGTCAGGCACGTCTCAGGAGAACGAAACGTCATCGCGGATCAGCTATCACGACGAAAAATCATATCCGACCAAGGAGCACCCCCATCTCGAAGACATATCACCCTCCCAACCATCCCTAAAAGTCTAGATGGCGGTTTCAAACGCTCAAAATAGTCATCTCCGTTTTTCGTTTCCTCATTTTTTCTTCTCAACTTCGTATCTTCAATTTACGCGACCGATCTATTCTCTTCAACAAAAATTTACTAAACACTTTTACAAAAAAAAATTTCTGTTATTCTCAAATTTAAGAAATCTCCGTGTGCAACATGCCTGCCAAAACTTTCGTGACACAAGAGTACAGCTTCTCAGAACGCGAAGCAATGAACGTGTCAGACCAGAACCACTGCCTCGAGCCGTCATCGCAAGCCAAATACGCCTGCGGGGTCCGACGATTCGTCGCTTTCTGCAAGTCCCAAAACATTCAAGACGTGGTTCCTTCAGAAATCAACCTGGCACATTTCATCTCGGTAGTCGGCAGAGAAGTGAAACCGGGCACGATGAAAATGTACCTTACAGGAATCGTCCGCCACTACAAAGAAAAATTCCCAGAAGTCACAACCATCAGAAACGGTGACAAGATAAAAAATTCGCTGACCGGGTGTGAAAAACAATTCTCAACACCCGCAAAGCAAGCACCCCCTTTCACACTTCTCGACCTCGAAATCGCTTCAAACCGGTTCAACCAAACCTTCGACGATCTCCTGTTCAACTTAATTCTGGGCCTCGGGTTTGCGGCGCTGCATCGCTTGGGCGAGCTAGTCACGCCTGACATCATCGCTTTTCGCAACTCCCGAAAATCCATACGAAGGTCTTCAATCCTCATTGCTCTCAATGGAGAAGCAGCCACCTACACCTTACCATACCACAAGGCCGACAGAAAGTTTGTCGGCACCCCGGTAGCAATCGTACAGCGGGCAAACTGCCACCTGTGTCCTGTCAGAACTTTGGTCCGCTACATCAACCTGCGTGACAAACGCTTCCCAGGCCAACTTCTCCTCCTCATCAAAGAAGATGGCCAACTGCCAACCAGAGCCTGGTTTATGGAACGATTAACGTTGATCTTCGGCAGCAACAGGACCGGGCACTCCCTCAGGGCAGGAGGCGCAACGGCCCTCGCTCAAGCCGGCATGCCCATGAAAAGCATCCAGGCGATCGGCAGATGGTCGGGCAAATCCTACGCCCTCTACGTCAGAAACCACCCCGTCCTGAACATGCGAAAAGCAACCGAGCACATGCCACAAACTGGACTCACCGTGGGGGAACATATCCACTTCCCAACTAAAGCTCCCGTGTGTAATGAACACGGCGCTCTACCAAAAAACCCTTTGCTCAACCTGACCTGGTTCTCCTTCACACAGTCAGTGCGTGAAAGTCACAGTTCGCGGTTTCGAAGGCTCGCGTATGATAATTACGCGAGTGGCTCTTGTTAGTGATTCGTCTTCAGACTTCACTGTACGACGCTAACCTTTCTCCTTTCTGCAAGCAGAAACGATGACACCTCCCTCCTCCGGACGAGAAAGTCAATCATTGGAAAGGATGGTCTACCAAGCAGGTCAGCTCCCAGCCACTGACGCTCGAGCTCCCTGTCTGGCACTCATTAAAAACGTCCCATTCGCACAGAGTCGACGTCCAACAGGCCAGTTCCAAACGCGGAGTGACTCTCACCCACAAGAATTGAGCAATCACGCGCGTAAAACACGCTTACGAGTCGCACATCCATCGGCACAGCCGAACATCAAGCTCTTATCTTCTACCCATCAACGACTCTCCACTACTACGAGGGTGGATGTGCTCCCGATCATCTCAACCCCGGGCCAACCATGCAATTCAGGTCCCGGGCCACCATGCGTAAATCAAGTGACCGTTGCCCACAGCCCTCCAGCTGATTCCTCGAAGTTGGCACAGGGTGTTAACCAAGTGGAATATGCTAGGAGGGAAGTGTCACACAAGCAACAGGTGTCACAAGAGAAATACAATCTGTGAGGATGAGCAGCTAAGTGGCCCCTCGACAGATCACCCCAAGGAGTATGTCGAACCTCTGCTAACATCGAGGCACCAGGCCTAGTCGACTGCTCCATCCTCTGCTCCAACCATTGTACCCAACCCAGTTGTATTCAAAAGTTCAATAGAATAACATCATCATAACCCTTACCAATATTTCACTTACTCATTATTATCAAGTTATAGCGTGTTAATTTCCTTTAGTCTCTCAGTTTTGAATTATTTTTTATTTCCCGCCCACCACCCGTCCTGTCAGACAGAGGGTTAAAGTTCCAAGTGGTGCAACATTGTTTAAGCAGTTATCTCATTTCTCTCGACGGAGCGGGGAGAATCCCAGTGGGATGTCTCAGCGCCAGATACGGCCACCCACAGTGCTCCCAATCATCTCAACCCCGGGCCAACCATGCAATTCAGGTCCCGGGCCACCATGCGTAAATCAAGTGACCGTTGCCCACAGCCCTCCAGCTGATTCCTTGACCAATGAATTGTGAGCCTGAGTACCCCTTGTATCCCGTTGCTGTTTCTAGGAATCTGTTCCGCAGGGAATGATTGGGTTTGAAAACGCATGATCATCCTCTGCTACTATTCTCAACCATATGCATCAAAAATCCTCAGCCCTAAGCCTAAGCCGAAACCTCTGTGCGCAGGGGAAGGGCGCGGACAGTACGGCACCCCAAATGGCTGGGAAGAGGAATTTTTGCTTTCAGGGAGATTGCGTAGCCCCGAAGAATATCCGCAGCCAATCAATCGGACAGCTCTGTATCTAATTGCACAATTACTCAGGGAGGAAGCCTTTGCATTAACGATCATGGAAGTGCTTGTCGGGTAGTAGTCTCTAGCTTGGCTAGGGGTTGAACTTTTGGACAGGCTTCAGATAAGTTGAATCAACTTGGGCTCCTGATACATAGCATGGTAGTCAAGACGAAGTTGAACATCGGATGATAAGGTGATTTTTTATGATCCTTGCATCTCGCAAGGTTTTATCAGGTAGTCCTCTTTCTTACTTTGAAGTTATAAATTGATTTTAGGAGATAAACAGGAAAGAGGATATATGTATTGACTAAAGATTCCAAGATACATCTGATAGCCTTTTCAATATAATATGTGAGCAAAAATAAAGGGATAGAGGGGGGTAGCGAGTTCTTAGAGCCTCAAGGATTGTTGAATGTCGATAAAGATTAGTAAGCAGGTGTATTTCCACCATCCTCATTTCCATTTCCCTGTTGAGCAAAAAAAACAATGAGACAGGATAAGTCATTAGATAATTTCAACCCGAGATGAGGCACTAGCAGAAAAGACCAGAATGTGATACGTACTCTACCATATTGACCATAGCCACCAGCAGCGGGAGTGCCCGGATAACTTGCATTGTATCCGCCACCATATCCACCCTGTGCGCCAGCGTATCCGCCTGGTGCACCACCATATCCTCCTGGTGCACCGCCATATCCACCTGATGGACCACCATATCCTCCTTGGACACCACCATACCCTCCTGCTGCACCGTATCCGTACCCGCCGGATCCTCCAAATCCTCCTCGTCCACCACCGAAACCACCACGAGCGCGATTTCGAGGCTGAAGAAGTGGCCTAGCTTTGACAAGAGTTAACGGATGACCATTGACGAGAATAGGCTGGTTGTTTGCACTCCGCTCCTGGAGCTTGACGAGGGCAGCGTCCACCATAGATTCATCAGCAAATTCAATGTGACCAGTGCCCTTGAGGAAGCCACCCGGAAATTTGTGGAATCGGATCAGCTTAGGCTGCATGCCGAGAGCTTCATGGAGAGCACTTCTCAAGGCACTCTCGTCCGATTCACCATCAGTTGGAAAACCTGACATGAAAAGTTGGTTGGTGGCAGCAGAGATGACAGGTCGTTTGAGAGAGATGGCTGCTACAACTTGTCGACCGAGGAAATCTAGTCCGTTAATAGCGCTGACGGCAGCATCGGCATCCGCTTGTGTAGGGAATTTTGCAAAAGCAAATCTACAAAAGAGCCCGAATGGTAAGTGGAACTCAGTAGGCACGATAACATAGAAAGGCAAAACCTCTTACCCTCGAGCAGCTCCATCACTAGTCCTGACCACGTCAACCTTTTTGACAGGTGCATATTGAGAGATAAATTCACTCAAGAGTTCTTCGGTTACAGAGAATGATAGATTGCTAAGATAAACTGAAAAGAGTTCTTCTGTTGGTTGAGATTGAGAAGTTTGAGATTCTTGAATTGGTTGAGATGAAGCAGGCGATTCATCAGCCAGTAATGAAGAGGATGTGATCCAACGAATAGGTGTGGCATCAAATCGAGTGGATTGAATTGGTCGGATAGCTGCTAGAACAGGAACTCGAGTAGAAACAGTTGAGGATTGAGTTTTGATAGCACGAAGGCTTGATCGGATGAATTGCTTTGATATCATTTTGATTTCTCGGTATAGAATGTTGGATAGTCAAGTTGGCTTGAGCTTCAGTTCAGAAATACTTCAACAATTTTGGTCAACAGCAGCACAAAACCATACAGGTGGAAATGGAATCAACCGGGCAGGATTGGGGTTAGGTTTACAACTCTCTAAACCCATCATTTCAATGGCTGAAATGTGGTTTGACTCATCAAGATCCGGTCCCGTATGATCTGCTCAAGTCTGAGTCCCGGACTCGCAAGAAATCATATGGCTTATCTCGATGGATCTAGTGAAGACTTTCAACATGGATGCTCGGATGGGAATGAAGCAGGCACATATGTAGACCCTTGTAGACTTGAATTGATCAATTGAGTATGCAAAATCACTCGAAACGTGCTCTGAATAGCACTGGTCAAATCATGGGAGATGTTTGCAACTTTGGTCTTTGATGGCACAAAGGAGCAATGTCAGCATGTAGTAAGTTATTACTTATATTAGGAGAACCCTCAAGTCCTGTGATGACGTGCAGAGACCTCAAAAGGTGAAATTAATGTGTCATGAAGAAACCATTTTGCTAGACAGGATCAGGGTGCTAGAAGAGATCCTATAGGTTATATTCTACTACATGTGTGCCAAACCACCAAACCTTTTAGCACCCCTACCAAATATTATGTTCTGGAACAAAGGCATTTGTATGGGTTTGACATGATTCCCTCACTCAACAGCCCGTGAGAGAGAAGTGTGGAACTTTGTCAAGTTTATTCACCGCATGTTGTTGGTTCCAGTGTTATTCAAGATAGAAAAAGGAAAACAACCAGCTATTTTGTCCAAGTCTTCTAACTTGAATCTGAGGCCAAGGTCCTTCCTGTTTCATCTTAAATTGGTGTGTTGTAAGATAGTGAACTTCATGTCTGAACAAACAAGATCACCAAAAGTGAATAGTTTAGTAATGCATCATTTTTGAGAATACATACTTACTATTTATCAGGCACCATGAAGGCCTCTTCTGCTACTTCTCTTGCTTTTTTAAAGGCAAGTAATTATCCTCCATGAGCTGAGCACTGGATTTACCTCTTGCAACAGCAAATTTAAGTTCATAATTTTCCTTGCATGTTTCACCTCTGTTTCAGCGGCCTCAAATTTCAGACATTGATATCTCATGTGAAGCTTGGACAGTTCAACCTGCTCTTCTTCTGAGAATAAAGAAAAAAGCTCATATTTGGGTTGTCAGGCAGTTGCAAGGTCTTTGATTGCCTAATCAACTAAATTATCATGTCCTTGTGTGTTGATACAAGGACTACCTTCTTGATCTGGAATCATGGCCCCCAACAAGACCAGCTACTTGGGTCTCTAGCTTTCTCCTGGATTGTGAGGTTTCTGAGCAAAAACAGGATCAATTGATGTGGCTCTATACACTGTCTGAGTATAGTTGTGTTTGCTCTTTGAATCTAAAATTGAATCAAACTCACTTATTCAATCTCAATTTATGTATTTTGAGAAACTACATACCAACTGATTCTAGATCTTTGTCAAGAAGATGACAGAAATAGAAGATGACAGAAATCATCATTAGCATGTTATCAAAGTACTGACCTTGATTGTGTTTAATTGGTAAACCCTTTGAATTTTTTGCTGGCGAAGTCTGACTCTCATTGAAGAGACCTTTGAGATCAAGAACTTAGAGAACAACATTGAGAAGCTCAAGATCTCAGGATCCTTATTGATCAATGAAGAAGTATTTTCATGGAATCAATCAAAAGAAGAAGAATTGAAACAACCATCTTGCAATGGTGCAATGAAATTGATGGCCATGGGAACTCAGACTCTACCTCATGCAGGGCTACAAGACACAGAATCCTTAAACTCAACAAAGTCCCACACCTGTCTGGCAATGCTGAGGCAACTGAGGGACTTACACCAAACTTGTACACTCCATAACCTTGCAGTAGAGGTCATGCTCGCACCCGAAGCCCCAAAGCCTCGTGGCGCCACGGTAGGGCTCAGGGCCATGGCCGTGGCATAGGCCATGGCCCTGGGCCCTCCGTGGCCTTAGCAGGGCATCAAGTCCAGCTAAGCCCCCTAAGGAGAGGCTTAAGGGTGGGGCAGTGACCAAAATTGAGCTCGGCGATCATCGAACGTTCTCATTTCATGATACCATTCACAATATAAAGTTGCTTTCTTTTGATTCTCTGCTCAATAAGTTGATTACAAAGACTCAAGAGATGATAGTAAAGCAAGCCAAATAAAAGATATCAACAATAGAAAAACTTACAATTCACTACACTCAAATAAAAATCAATTATCCACGATTGATCATCACAAAGAAAGGGTAACAAAGTCAGTAAGCGTAAGAATGAGAAATGGAGAGATCGATGTAAACATAAACAAGAAATGCTAGTGGATGAGTTGCATCTGTTCCATAGACAGAGATTTGGATCAAGGGAGATTGAGAAATCAGTGAACGCTTGATAGCGTGTTGTGTTTTTTCAAATCTGCGCCCCAGATCATGGCGCCATTGTGGCGCCACCGTAAGGCCCTGGCTAGAAAGGGCCTGACTGTGGCAGGCCATGGCCACGGCCATGCCCTGGGCCACGAAAAAGGCGCCGGGTGTGAGCGTGAGGTAGAGGACCTTGCAGGGAGCTTCCTTCAATCCCCTGGATTTTTTTCCACACCAATGATTTGGGCATGGTCCAAAGAAAAGAATTATGCGCCCAAGTAAGGCACATATTGTACATATCTTTTACCAAGGAAAATGCTCTTGTTATGTAGATAATGTTAGAGCAAAACTGACCATTTTCATCAACACTTCCTATTTGCAGCAGTTACATTTGTGGTATACATGTACAGTTGCTATTGAAGCTAAAACTTTGAAGAAATTTTGTACAGGTTTGGTGTAAGTCCCTCACTTGCTTCAGCCTTGCTTGAGGCAAGAGTGGGACTTTGTTAAGTTTACAGAATCCCCACTTTGGAGGTTGGAAATCAAACCAGGCAAATCTTTCAAGCATTATGTCACCCACGCTCAAACATCACATTGCCTTGTTCAACACTTTGGTTAATTGAGTGATCCCCAACTCACCCAGTTCATTATGTGGGGAGCTCAACCTCTAGTCCAGGATATGATCAAATGAGAAAATCACTTCCTTGCCTCACCTTTTTCCTTCCCAGTGTTCAAAGATGTGGCAGATGGCATCTGTTGTCAACCCTTGTTTAATACCAGACCCTTCCAGTGAATCAAAACACACCCCTTCAGTACCAGCTGTTGCATCTGCAACACTCACCAGCAACCAGTCAGCACCACCTTCTAGAAAATGCTCAGAAGAGAGGGCTGTCGACGCTTAGAGGGATCATGGATACCTCAGACAATCTGTAATCTGTGCAATGTGCAAGGATACATGTAACAATCCCGGTCGCACTAGAAGGAGCACATGGTTCTTGTCTGTGCCAGCTGAAAATTTGGGCCCCAGACCTCAACATGTGGCAAACTTTTCAAACACTACTCCAGCTCCAGGAGCTGCAGCCCAACAAGCAGCAGGATGTCCTCCGGTTCAAGAAACTATGACTTGTGTAGCAGCTGTAGAAAGTTTTCCGGACATGCTGAAAGAGGACATGACTTCTTACAAGGAAGCTGATCAATTTCAAGCAGCTCAAGTCAAAGGCCTGTCACATGGTGAATTAAGGTGTGTACCTTCATCATCTGTGGCACCAATCATCCTGGAGCTGACATGCAACAACAAATCCATATGGGCATTAATTGACTCAGGGGCAGGAACAAATCTCCTATCCAACCAAATGGTGAGTGATTTAAGAATCCCACAGAGACTTTTGATATTGCCTGTTGAGGTACACCTTGCTGTCCCAACTGAAGGAACTCCCTTAGCTTTAAAGGAGTTTGCAGTGGCTGATCTGAAGTCTGAATATCCCAGTATGTATTTTGGAGCATTATTCTTCAAGTAGGCGCTGTTGAGCTTGTCATATGACATGATACTGGGTTCTCCATTCTTGTCAAAATTTAAATTAGATGTTTCTCACCACCATTGTTGTGTAGTACATTCACCAACAGGATAGTTTTATATTAGACAACAATGCAAGAAGAATTGGATCATGTTTTATGTGCAATTGATAATATTGATACAATTAGTCAAGCTCAGAACTTGAGTGAGTGAGAGTCACCAGTGTTGAAAGAGTTCGAGGACCTGTCCCTGGCAGAACTTCACCCTGTGGAAGAGGGTGACTCACCATATGAAATATTCCCAGAAGGCCTGCTGTATGTGAAACAAGAAGCAAGACACAAGATTGTTCTCACCAATCCCAATGTAGTAATCAATGGTAAACAATTTGGTTACCCTCATGGGCATTTGGCATCTTGGCATAAATTGGTTGAGCAGCACTTGGACGCAGGAAGAATTTGACAGACTCAAAGCCAATATAGATCAAAGGAATTTGATTTCCTGTTGGAAGAGCTTGATCTTATTGATTCAAAGGAACCACTGTGGTTGTTTACAGATGCAAGTGGCCATGGACTGGGTGCAGCGCTGTTTCTTATGGTGTTTTTCTGGTCTCCTCTCTAACCAGTTTCTTAAATTTTTCAGCCATTCTAGTATGTTATTATTTGTGAGATTGTACATATTGTGATATACTTTTCATGAGCAACAGACATCCCTGCATGGCTTGAGAGCTGTGCTGAGGATGCAAAAACCAGGCCTTACGCCGTGTTGTAAATGGCCTAAGAGATCAAATGGAATTTGAAAGTGCCTGAATTGTCCTCTTACATCACAATTTCAAAGTGCTTCTGCTTCATCTGAACCAAAAGTAAATGGTAACTCAATGAGGAACAATAATGGCTGAAAATTTTAAGAAAGTGGGAAGAGAGGAGACCAGAAAAACACCATAAGGGGACTCAATTTCTAGAGTCACACAGCCAATAAACCCGTTTGAGTCATGAACCCCTCTTTTGAGGGTGCGGACAAGGCTGTGTGAGGGGCTTAGTTAAGCTAAGCTTCTACGTGACTTTCCAGAGCTAGGTGAGTCTTCAGTCTCAATATGACGAAGTTTGTAAGAGTTTGTAATTCGTACTTGTCCTCTCTCGAGGGGTCGTGCCGGAGACTGTTCCGGATCCCAGTGAAGGTTCTGAATCTCACAAACAGTGAAGGTTCTGAATCTCACGAACCTTACATCACGCCCCCTATTTCAGTCGTTTTCAACAAGCTTGCCACACATTCACTGCTAAATTCTGCTAAATTGCTCATGTTTTGCGGGTCAATTTGGACAAGCTTTTTGAAAACGTAAAGACGTCACATAAAAGTCTTGAGGAAAAGCGCATATGATCATCACCGGAAATCCCGACAACATCACATTCACCATGACAAATCCCACCACATCTATGTAATAGGGACTGTGATTGAAGCTATCGAATCAATTGCAACCTAATTCTCGTTCAGTTTGCCAAGACTCGTGTCGGCCTCCACCCCGAGCAGATGGATGAGGGATTTGGTTCAACCTTCATGGAATTTTTGCAACTTCAGTCCATTCAGGAAAGCTTGTCACAAATTCCACACCAATTCGCAGGAATTTTGCGGGCAACTTTGGTCAAGCTGACTGTTATACACCCCTGAACACTTCTTCCTCTTTTCCTTTTGTCTTCTGTAGCTATAAAGCACCCAACATCCATGTCCATCTGAAATTATAAATCATACATATTAATAATAAAACCCCAGCTGACGACTTCTTACGACCTACATCATGAAGTTAATGATAATGGATCAAATCGGCTTATCATCAATGATTCCGAATCCTAACGTTAACAGTGTTCTGGATCAATTGATATTATTGATATTAATAGTTTATTTGATTAATCGGATCAGATGGAAAGTTAAAGAATACTCAAATAAAACAAAAGCGAAATCATCAAATAGTAAAATAGCACCTTTAGTGACTTGTACAATTCCATTCGATTCAAAATTCTTATATTATAAAATTGTCTCACTTTTGAAAGGTGATCCATCAAGTTCATTAGATTACCTTAATTCTTATTCAAAATTAACTAAAGCTATCAGAATCAATATCTTGGGAACCGAAATCATTCATACCTTTTCCCATTTAGATGTTAAATATATTTTATCTAAAAACTTTCAAAATTGGGGTAAATCAAATAGTTTCGTAGAGGCTTTGTATCCATTGTTAGGTGATGGTATCTTTAATTCTGACCAAAGATCACTTTGGTCTTGGCATAGAACATTAACTAGACCTCATTTTACAAAAAAAAGAATTTCGGATGTGGAAGCTTGTGAAGAACATGTTTCTAGATTGATTAGTTGGATTGAATTTCAAAATATATCGGATCATTCTGTTGATATTCAAGATCGTACGATTCGATTTCACTTGTTTAATTTTTCTCCTGACTATCGATGACCTTCTAATTTACTGTTTTGATGTTTTTTTGTTGGTTTTTTTTAGTCTTTTCACGGTTGACCCTCACTGTCGCTACCCAGCATTTCTTTGGACATTGTTTGGACACGCTCAATGATCTCTTACTTGATAGACCTATACAAAAAGGTGCTATAGATGCAACAGCTTTCTCCAACGACTTTGCTGACGCTCAATCACATTGTCTATCATATCTCTTTCTACCATGTAAGCACCTTGTTTTAAATTTATGAAGTATGCTTTCAACGTTAATCAATCCCCGTCCTTTAATTTTCACCTAGCTTTCATAGTCAGATTATTTCAAAAAGTATCACCTGATCCATCAATCAAGAGAGTCTCGGCAGCCGTAGATGTGTTGATAGAGAATATAGCCAAAGAGCGTAGTTTATCAGTTGATCAACAAGACCCTGAAACCCTATTCAATAGCATACATCGATCAGGTTGCTCAACCCACCTTCTTCGTCATGAACTTCTCAATCTATTAATCGCCGCACGAGATTCACTTTCTTCTTTACTTACTAGTTGCATTTATGAATTAGCTGGACGGGATGAGCTTTGGAATCAACTTCAATCGGAATCTAGCCATCTTGGCCAAATCTCTATCATTTCCATGAATCAAATCCATCAATGTAAATTACTTAGAGCAGTGATTAATGAAACTCTTAGGTTAGTGGTTCCAGCTCTTCCAATCTTTTACATTTGGTCCTTGTTGACATCATTGATATTTTTTCTCTGGTTCTTAGACTTCATCCACCTGTTTGGGCAAACCTACGTGCTGCATTCGAAGATGATGTATTACCATCGGGTATATTTGTTTCAGCAGGGTTAGTCTTGATCGCAATTTCAGTGATTCCACATTTTAATTTGATCTATGTATCTTTTAAAATCGATTTCTTCTGATCAACGGCTTACTCAAATATCTAGAACCGATTGTCGATTTAGTATCCGAGAATTCCAACGAGATCCGGAAGTATGGGGTATGGTCAGTAAAATGAAACAAACATACAATCTATTGATACATTTTTGGAAACTAATCAAGTTTTTTTTTGATTTGATGATGTTTTGAAATACGAATAGGATGCAGAAGAATTCATACCGGATCGTTGGTTAGATGGTAGACAAGTCTTACAAAGTAAAGATCCATTTAGTTTCCAACCATTTAGTGCAGGGCCGAGACTTTGTCTTGGTCAACAATTCGGTAAGTTTTTTTTTTCTTCTTACTTCCAGAAGAAAAAATAACCTCTTTAACTCGAAAATCAAACTCACCTGGAACGTTTTTGTTTCTTTAGCTTATACTGAATTGTCTATCGCATTGATTAGATTACTTAATCGATTCTCTAGAGTTGAGTTAGTAGGTAAATCAGCCGTTAGGGAAAATATTAAAGAAGTCCACTCTGTGACTTTGAGCTTCCAAGATGGATTATGGGTTAAGTTTCATCCATGAACGATCTCAAATGGCGTAATTATTTCATAGGATATAATGGTTTTACAAGATATAATGATCTCAGGAATTATTGGCATGAATTTGATGAACTCAATGGATGTGGATTTGAAATGATTCTACGTAATGAATATGGATTAATCTTTCATTCTTCAAGGTTTATGGATATTCTAGATTCTCATGTTGTATCTGAATGTGAAGTGTGTTTGTTTTCAATAGAGGATCAGTGAGGACAGATGATGATGTTTGAATTTAATTTTGTTGTTTGAAGTCTTTACACCTTTGTTAGGATGCCTCTCAGCAGAGCATTCCAGGGTATCACTAATGTATTTTATAAACCATTCCTACCATCAGACGGTTCTTTTTTTGAGGAGGAATTTTGTAATTGTTGAAGCATTCTATTGATTACCCTGATCGTGATCTATTTGTTGCCCTTTGAGCTCCTTTCACTAGCTTTTCTCGGGGGAATGATGGTTCATAATGAGCTTTCAGTCCAGTGAGGAACACTGAGCGTTCAGGACCACTTGTCTCCTCGTCTGCCTGAGCCTCAACTCAGACTGATGAAGTTCAGCCTAGGCAATACTCATCTGATCTTGTCCCTTAGTGTATGTTTGTAGACATTTGTGACACCAAGATCACACAATCGTGACAAACTTGCAAAGACTGTAGGCCCCCCAACGTCAGGGGCCAGCTCCACGGACATTGTGGGTGATACCATAGAAGTTGAAAGTTTTACTGGCGAAACCGCCAAAAAGATGTGTGAATCCAAAGACTAAAACCCCGAAAGCAAAAAATCAGTGAGAGCAAAAGCGAGAAGGAGGATGAAAGTGAGAAAGAGAAAGAGAAAGAGAAGGAAAGCAACAAAGATGAGGAAAGGAACAAGGGACTTCCTCCTGAGGGAGCTGATTTATCTTCTTGAATGTGTATAACGAGTGACTTATCTAATCAATTTGACCTATGGATTTGACATTAAAAAAATCATCAAATACATCAAGCTCATCATCTATGGAATCCACCGTCTGTAGTATTTCAAAAAAACATCATTAGGATAAAGTAACGAGGAAAAGTGGATCAAAGGCTAGTTGATTACGCTACATTAGATATGCAAGGTGCAAGGTTGACTTCAAGACTGTATGGTATCATATCACTGTGTGAAGAAAGGAGCATGTGATTTTTTGTTGGAAGTCATCTGGCTATGACCTGAAGAACTTATTTTATAAAGATGAACAGATGGCATATATTCTAGGCACTCATTCAGATGTGTATTTGTTTATTTATTGAACAGAGGAGAATGTATTTATGTGAAATGAAATAAAACCTATGAAACAAAAAATGGACAAACAATGTGGTAAATGCCAATACTTTCTGATAAGCCACATATAGATTTTTTTTTGAAATGAAGTCAGATATATATGTGGTAAAAAAACAGCTAGATAAAGATTCACATGATCTTGCAACTAATATCTAAAGAGAAAACTACAGTCAAGAATCCTTTCACAAGACCAGCTTGTTTTCTTGAATTAGTTGTCCATAGTGAATGCAGTTGTCTAGAAGTATGAATACTTTTTCTGAAATCAGGATATATACAAGGAAAAGATAATAGTGATTGGCTGATGTAAAATGATTGAATGAGAAAAGGCAAATAAGATGTTTGAATGTTTCTGCACAGAATGTAGAATGCTTGAACATCAAGTTAAGTAGTCAGAACTGTCATGATCATCAAATCATTAACTCATCAACACGAAAATGAAAAGAGACAAATAAAGTTGAATGATACATACTGAAGAAGAAAAAAGGTTGCCCATGAAATATGTATATTGACAAGATCCTTTTGAAGGTGATCTCAAAATTGAGATCTTTTGAATTTTTTTCAAATGCAAAAATAACATGGGACTTACCATGATGACCAAGAGCCTTTGATCGATTACGCCGAGTTTATTCCATCTTGCACTGCCAAATCACCTCCTTTGATTCTTGATCTTCAATTTTTTGAGGTTGAGACTTGAGTGCTCGATGATAACCCATATGCTATATAAACCATTGGTTTAAGCAAGTCAAGATGAGTATCACGTGATCATACGTATGTGTGTATGTACTATGGACTTAGTTGTATGTAGCTGTTACATGAAGTTTTAATTTACATATGAAGAAGCAGATCTTTTTTCATACATATTTTTAATTTTGTCTGTGTGAAAGTCATCAAGTCAGCCAGTCGTCGCGCTCTGCGTATGTATGTAAGATTGAACGCGTCAGTAAAAAGAAGAAGAAGAAAAGAAAGTTTAATGATTAGAAGAAGATCTGTACTCTGAGCTGAGTTGATCAATCAAAACAAACAAACAAACACAAACAAAGAAACACTCAATCCTAGATCATCAATCTTGAGCTTACACATCTTTAAGTCTCCTCAGCAAGACTCAGCATCCTCAGCATCATTCAGAAAACCCGTTCATCCATTTCTACAAGAATCACTCAGCTTGATTTCAGCCTCCTTTGAGCTTGACATCACCCCGTCGACTTCTGGACAAATTCAATGACAACTTCCTTTGGGGTTCATCAAACAGACAAAAACGACTTAACTTTCATTTGACCAACCTCAATCTCCTCCAATCAAAACAGTCATTCTTACTATCACTTTAATCCATCTTTAATCTCATTTTTCAAAACTTGATCTAACTCAATGGCTTTCCCAGATCGTAATCATCGATATCTTAATGGATACTTCAATCGTGATAACACAGAGTACGAAAATGATCAATTTGTTTACTCACAAGCCACCCAAGAACAACCTCCCACTCAAATCAACACCGATGATCAAATCTGGTTACCGAGTCCATCACAAGCAGAACCTATACCAGAAGAAGAAGAAGAAACTCCATGGGCCACTTTACACGATTTAACTCGACATGTACCTAAGAAAGCTCTTATGCCTGGTGTTAACTTATTGTGTATCGGAAGAGAGAAGAATCGTGATTTACCTAAAAGTCGTTGTAAACAGGATTTGGTCATTAAAACTGATCATCAAAACGCATGTCAACTTTCGAGAAAACATTGTATCATTCAAAGAAAAGGTGTGAACGATGAAGATTTAGATTCCCAAACCAAGCATGGAGGTGAAGACTTTATACGACAAATGACGAAAAAAGCCAAGATGCCTCATAATGGACAAAATACTAGTGAGGTGTAAGTCTCCTTTGACTCGACTCACTCTTGAATCGGTCATCATTTCTAATCTGTTGACTCCACTTCAGTATATCCATACGAGATTTGAGCTCGAACGGTACTTTTATCAATGGTAAGAAATGTGAACCCAATAAATGGACTAAGCTAGACCATGGTGATCATGTAAGTCTTCAATTCACATCCTCAAGTCAACGTGTATCATCTTTGATTTAGTTGATCTTCAATTTGATGGATTTAGATCGCACTGGGCTCAATCACGGGTCAGAATGATAAACCAAGTAGAACATTTGAATGGATGATTTCCATTCCATCTCGTCAGTCAACTATTCTTACTAACCTTATATTTCTTTAACAATTCAAACTCTAACATTTTCTTCTTTGACGTGACTGGAATCCAGAGCGTAAATTTCCTATGAATAAAAAACCTGCTGCCCACAGTCTCATCGGGCAAAAGGTATACGACCGATATGATCTCATTTCACCTTTGGGCCAGTCAGTTGTTATTCTTTTGGACATCTATTCTTATCCTTGTTTATCGACTCTGCTCTCAAAACTGACTCCTCTTTATTTTCCTCATCTTCGTAGTGGAGCTTTTGCTACAACTTGGAAAGCATTCGATCGTGAGAGTGGTGAATTTAGAGCCATTAAAGTTATTCAGAAGAAAGTAAGTTGGATTTTCTTGTTCTTCTTCATCTTAAAGTTTTCTTGAATGTTCATTGACGTTGGTACTTATCACACACAGGATCATGAACACAACACACGTAATTAAATTTGATTAACCTTATCTGTCACTTTAAAACTTTAAAGGCTGATCTATTCTGTACGTTTTGATTCAATCTATAGAAAACCTTGTAAATTTTCAAAGAGAAATCGAAATATTAGAAAAAGTAGACCATGTCAGTTAAATCAAGTTCAAATTCTCAAATTCTCAATCATTCCAAATCTAACCATCGATTTCTTCTTATACAGCCAAACATAGTGAAATTTTTCGAATCCTTTGAAGATGAAGAATTCATATGGATCGTCTTAGAATTAGTAGACGGTGGTGAATACTTGGATTATGTTTGTAATTCAAATGGATTGGATGAAGAATCATGTCGAATTATCACAGCTATGTTACTACAAGCATTAGCTTATCTTGCTGCATTGAATATTGCACATCGTGATCTTAAACCTGAAAACATCTTGATGACTTCTGGTGCTAATCCAAGGCCGAAGATTGCTGATTTCGGGTTAGCTAAACAATTAACTAAACCTAATGTAAGTTGATGATCTATTTTACTCTAGAGCATGTTTCCTAGTATACTGACTACATTCTTCTACATGGTCATCTTGACCATAGGCCAGATTTAAGACTCAGTGTGGTAAGAGCTTTCATATTATCATATCTGGTCCTGCTTGAGGCTGATATCAATCTTTCACTTCAAACAGGAACCCCTGCATATTTAGCTCCAGAGATCGTAGTCCCAGCTTTGAATAATAAAAAGAAAGGTTATACAGTGGCAGTTGATATGTATTCTTTAGGAGTGATTGTTTATGCTGCTTTAGGAAACTGTTCACCTTTCGAAGGACAAGAACAAAGAGGCGATATAAGGCAAATCTGTAAAGAAAGAAAAGTAGATACATCTGTTTTATCTGAATTGAAACCCAACATTAGTGAAGCTGCACTTGAATTCATTACACGACTTACGATACCTATTGCAGAAGAAAGGATGAGTGCAAGTAAGTGATTTTGTGTTTGGTGATAGTTTTTTTTCTTGAAAATGAATTTATGATTGATGAGATTGTGTGGGTACGGTTTTTGTAGACGAAGCTTTAGAACATAGATGGATTAGAGAATCAGTCATAGAATGGCCACAGAAAGCTTGTCAATTACCATCCAATCCTACATTAAGTTCTTCACCACCTGAAGAAGAAACGATTTTAGCCAAGTCTACTAAACCGGTTCGACAAAAGATCAACGAAGATGAAAGTTTTGAATATCAAGCCAATGATCCAACTGAAAATTATGATTATCCTAGATTAAGTGAATGGCAAGAAGGAGTTACATCTGATTTCGATTGGCCAAATCAACTTGATCTTATAGATGGAATATCTAAAAGAAGAAGCCCTACTAGTATTTCTCCATATAACTCGGTTCAAACTCATGAAGATCAAAAGGTTGATGTGATTAATGAGATGTGTTCTCAAAAACTTGGTGTGTTCTTTTTTTCAAAAGATTTGTTGAAAGAGAGATCTATGTGGAATTGGTCTAATGATTGGTTTTGGTTAGGTAAAATGAGATTAGAAACTCAATGTTCTTCTGAGAAGAATAGTACAGAAGATCTTCCAGGTTAATCTTTTGATCCATCGAAAATTTCTTAACAACCAAATCTTAGAAATCAAAGTGACTAATTAATTTTTTTTATTACAGTTGTTCCAACTTCCGCACCACCTTCTTGTAGTAATACGAGATCAGAATCAAATGTTTCAATTCCAGTCTCACCAAATGAATCCCTGATTGATAAACAATTACATCAAATCCATTCACACTTTAATCCAAAAGGATTTACAAGTTCCAAACGAAAATTAAGACAATGGTCTACTTCACCCAGATTGATATCCAAGCCAATTGCAAAAGATGATCAAATACCGGCTAAAATGAAATTATTTAAAGAAGTTAGCAAAGAATCGAAAAAAGAAGAGATCCATCAAACCAAAGAAACCGATTTGATGAAAGTCAAAGGGATTGAAAAGGTTTTGAAACCTTTAAATCGAATCACTTCTAATAAAAACCTTTTGGTCACTAAACCTTCTTATCATCTTCAAGAGAATCCAATGGTTTTTAAACCTAAAGGCACTGGTATTGGAAATGGAAATGGAAAGGAATTAGAAACAACTGAAGATTTACCTAAAAAGAAACGTAATCGTCAAAATTAAAAACAAAAACCAAAACAATCAAATTGATTAATTTTTCCTTCTTCTTTATTATTTATAGAAAAATTTCTTTTGCTTATTCAATTTTTTTTTGTACAATATAAACTATATATAGATAATTCAAGGACCAAAAAAAATTGAGAATAATTCTTTTTGTGTTTTAAAAAAAATAGTAGATTTTGTAATATAGAGGTCATATGTGTGACTGTGACTGTGATTGAGTGTGTGTGTTTGATTTCTTTTTTTTAATGATTATCTTCTTGGACATTTTTTCTTGCTTTATTTTAAACAAAATAAAATAATAATTAGATACTTGAAATTTGAAATTTAAAATTTAGAAGAGAAAACAATTGCAAAGCAGAATCTCAAAGGAACTCTCGTGAAGAACAAGGGTACTATCTTTTTCTCAGCGTTTCATTTTGTGTCATGACGTCATAATCTTTTGTTTTGTTTGCAAGATTGGGTCATCATTTTATTCTTAACTGTTTTAGACGACCTATTCGTTTATTCTTTGTATTTGATTACTTTCCCTTGTTATTGTGTTTCTCATAATCTTAGACCATCATCATCATTTGTTACTTTTGGGAAAAGCACATCCCATAGCTTAACGAAGTTATTTTAGTAAAAATTTCAGATCCGAATATCATAGGGGTCCTGTCTTCTTAAATAAATTTTGTATTCGGACGCTGGAACTTGAAGTCATCCAATTTGCCGGCCCGGATGTTATCTAGAGTCCCGGCACGCCGTATGATTGGGTTGGCCAGCCCACGATCAATGGTGAATTTGTGACATCTTGAATCTTCCTGAATGGAGAACCCTACTTCAGCCTTCAGGTAAATTCTTTTTTCTATATTTGACTGGTGGCGCAGACTGTCAGACATCGGATTTCTAGGATGCATACATAGTTGTGCACCCTTGCGTATAGGTGTCTTCACAAAAAAGTACATTTTACCCCTCTGTAACAAATAAAGGAACTTACCTTCATTAGTCAAGGTCCACGCCCAACCACACGCTCCTTTTGGAATATATTGGAATTTGGAGGATAGCCTCATTCATACCTAACCACGAAGATGGAACCTCCCAGCTCTCACTGCATAGCTTCCTCACGGGCAATATATCCTGCTTCACGCTGCTCAATCGATCGAATTTTTCGTTACTTATATAAATAACTTTTCTTCTCTCTGGATCTTCTCACAAGAGCAAATGTTGAACCAGTCTTTTCTTAAGATCAGTGTGCTAGTCGCCACCTTATGTCTCAACGCACTCCGTGTATCTTCAATGGTGTGGAATTGCCCAGGCCAATATACGATCCAGGGTGGTGATGTTGGTACGTTGTTCCTTTATCTGTTCCTCACGCCTCGAACGGGATCCACCACACGGATTGGCTGAATCTATCTCTTTTCTTCTCCCAAGTTTGTGACCAAAACAAGGACGATGGCACCACCAACATAAATTGCCACCCGGAGAGCTGTTCCAACGGGGGTAGGGATTTTTAATCAAACCAAATCGCTGTTTGATGGCTGATTCTCACAAGAAAACTGACAGACCATTCAATCTTATGAATGAAAATCTAGGTAAGAAATGGGTTCCAATGTCGAACTGTGTATGGAATGACCGATACGACGTCCCTGGCCTAAGCAAGCAGCAATGTGCCCAGTATACTTATGTTACTAGTGACAAGACATACGGTGTGTAGTCGTTTTTCAACAAAAAAATCCCGTAGCTTACTTCAGCCTATTGACAAATTTGATATCTGGATCAAATTTCTTAGATTGTAAGAACCCAGCGGGCCATAACTATATCTGCTCCTCAAACCCAACAGGTGGATTCATGAGTCAGTCCAACCGCAACTCTGTATGAGGCCAACATGGTTGATGAGAGAATTTTTCTTTTAGCGTGCACCGATTGCTTCACCGTACCCTAAGAATTGACCAAATCCCGAGTCTTGCTTGCATCGGTCACCCGCACAAGCAAATCTACTTCAATATCCTGAGTCATATTGTGGGCGCAGTTCAAAACACGTCGCGCCTCAAAATTCCAAAATAAGCATGTGTGTGCCCCTGATACTATATAAGCTCTTCTGTAGATAGCAGGAGAACTTAAATCTTGAGGTCACAAACACACACTCACCTCCAGAATTCTGTGACAAAAGAACAACAGAAGTTATCTGAATCTAAAGCCAACTCCAATCAATGGGTCTTGACTGATACACACATGTTTGCTTTGCTGGACAGGACTCTTGATGTTGGCAATACACAACTTTGTACAAGCTTTCCAACTTGCACAGTGTACTAACTACAAGTTATTCATGGATGGCAATCCACCTAGACTTCATATGAACTATACCTTAACAGAATACAAACTACAAACCAGATCTATTTTATTGCCATCAAGCTGCACAAGCGGGTACCCCATGCTGGGGTTCAAAAGTCCCCCTGTGTGCAACCAAGTCTCACAGCTAAATGACTCAAACTCACTCAAAGATGATATTGCAAGTCAAACCATCCCTCAAGCTCAAATCAAAAAAATACCAATCCCAAAAGCCAGACAAACCACTCCCCAAAGCAGAATTGAAATCATAAATGACCAAGGTTTTGAAACTTGTATCAATTGTGTAAAGGACCTCTGAAAGTCCTCCACTAATATTTCTTACAGGAGTTCAGAGATGCAAACTGAGGGATCAGGATGCCACAAAGTGAATCCAATTGACTTTCTATGAACCAATGAAATATATTATTTGGAACCTGGCTTCAAAGGATAATGAATCTAAGTCAGTCAAAGATTCCCTAAGGAGCCAGTTGTGTTTGTGTTAAATGTGAAAAGATATAATAAGACTAATATGTTTTGTATGCTTATGAGTGCATATATGTTTGTATGGTGTAACAGTGTTTTGGTTTTAAACATTTTGCAGCCTCACAAAAAAATTGAACAGATATTCTTACAAGCCTTGTACACATTCTTGTGCCACTTTTAGCACCACATTATTTGAGCAAAGTTACACAGTTGAGTTCTTTCAGTTCTTGTAAATCTGGGTCTTATTCAATACACAAGGCCTACATGCACGCTTGGACTGTTCATAGTCACTTGATTCTGTAGGCCAAGTTCCTTGCAATCAAAAGCTGTCAAGATGATAAAAGTGATACAAGGAGAAACAGAAGACCTTGAAGGAGCTCTTTTCAATTTGTTGGGAGGTTTCATAATATTTGGAGCCCTAAAAATGGGATTCCAAGCAAAAATGCTTGAAGATCCTGCTGGGCTCAGGTCACCCCCGGCTTCAGTCATAAGAGTGGATATGACCACATCAGAAGAGGGGCTTGCCTAAGCTTACTGCAAATACAAGTAGGACCCAGGAATGCACCTATAGAGGTATGTATCAAAACTTGGGTTTTGGTTTTTGGGCTCTACACTACACATCAATTCTTGTCTCAAGTTGCCAAATGCTTCAAAAGATGTGTCTGTGATAGGTCTATCAAATGAACCTGCTTCAAGGCCCTTCACTTTTCCCACTTTGGGGTAAAAGGGTAAAAGGGATTGGCATATTTTTTTGGGGCCTCCAAGGCCTGATCCAAGCATGTGATTTTATGCCTGTTTTCAGCTCTTAAGTACATCCAATTATCCTGAGAAGTATGGGTGCTATGAGACTTGAGACTAGTTTTGATGAAACTTTTTGTTTGGTGCTGTCAAAGTGCGGTGATGTGCCCAAAACTCTCTCCAACAAAAGTTTGGGATTCTTGATCAATACCTCTAGAGTTGCATTCCAGGACTCTACTTATCTGAGCTCAAGAAAGTTCCTCAAAGGCGGTAAGTGGAAAACCTGTGTAAGGACTGGCACAATTTGAGTTTTGTGGTGTGATCCCAGAATCATCGAAGATGACGTCAGAGTGTAAGATGACGTCAGAATGGTCATCAAGTTTCTATATAATTACCATTTCTCATTTCTCATTTCCATCTCGATTCAAAAAACCAAATCATTCGAAACTTCTTAACCTCACTTTTCTATTTAACAAAATCTCATCAATCAATCCATTTACTTACAAAAACAAAACTAAAATGAAATTAATTCAAACAAGTTCAAGTTTATTTAAAAATCAATTTACTTTAAGACTTCATCATCAAAATTTAAATCCAATCTTATACAAGAATTTCAATCGAAGCTTTCTTATCATTCATCATTTAAATCAAAATACAAAAGGTAATGAAAAAAAAACGATTCAAATCAAATGCAATTTATTTGCCTTCAATCCATTTCTTCTTTTTATCCTTTAATATCTTTCGTTTCTTGGTTTTGATTTTTGATTTTCTGTTGTTTTTTTTGTGTTTGGTTTATTTTAGAACCTCATAAAGATACTCAACAATTTACTAAACCTGATCCAAATTCAAAAAAGGTAAAGATTTTAAAAACACTTTCGTTCCTTTTTCTAAATCATCACTAATCTTTTGTGTGTGTGTGTTTTGGTGTGTTTTTTGAAATAAAGGTACCAACTGATTCAGAAGAACATGTTAGAGCAGAAAAAGATGATCGATCAACTAAAACTTTACAAAAAGAAACCATCAAAGAAGTTCACGAAACTCATCATACCAAGAACAAAACTTGATCTTAAATCTTTCTTACAATTGTGATTTTTTTCCCTTTCAAAATCGATTTTCTACTCTGTATTTGATTTTTGAACTCTGAGAACAATCTTATGTTTAAATGTATGAGTGATATATTTAGATCAATTCAAGTTTTAGTTCTCAATTGTTGATTTTCACTTACACCAGTTGATTATCAGATGTTTCATGACCAAAATCATGGTGTACAAGATCATTAAGATTAACATTAGGTTATACAAACTTACAAATGAGAAATCAACAGAAGAAAAAAGGTGAACCCAAAAGATCATTCCGACATTCCTAATCTACTAACTTGTCTTGCTAATGCACTACCTTGAGCATGTCTCTGTTGAAACATATTCCGTCTAGACTGATGAACATTCCGTTGACTAAGCTCACCTGATCTTCCAAGATTGACTTGATGATGATGATGATGAGTAGTAGTGGTAGTAGTAGTAGTCGGAGTCGTATTTAAAAGATCAATTAAACTAACTTCAGATTCTAAACCTTTATCTTCTTCTTCACCTAACCAAAGTTGTCTTGGTGGTAATAACAAATTCGATGCTTCTTCTGATGATGATGATGAGGGTAATGAGTGTAAATTGAAATCAGTTTCTAAATATTTTTCATGGTTGATGATTTCACTTGAAGTTCCTTCAAGTCCTAAATTTAATGAATTCGATTGAATTGATAAAGAAGGAGAAAAAGCTGTAGGTGATGGATATAACCATCTAGATAGGATTCGAAAAGAAAAGGAGAAATCAAGTTAAAATCAAGGTTGATCAAATCAGATTGAAAGAAATGATTAGGAAAAAGAAACTCAACTGATCTTGATTCAATCCGTTGACTAAAGATCTCAAGTTTTGTTGAATTTCAAAAACCAATTCGTCTTCTTGAATCGAATTAATCTTTTGATAAGTTTGAAAGTTTTGAGTTTCATTAGATTTACTACCATCAAACAAGACTGATTCTCTTAAATTCTTTAACCAGATCGGTTCGATCCTTTGAGTTTGATCATTAAACCATTCGCGATCTTGAACCGAATCTGATGAAGGATGAGTGATAGTATGATTAGAATTAGCGGAATTCCAAACTGATTGAAGTGATTTGATTTGATTTGAGTTATAAGGTAAAAGTTGACCATTCGAATCTAAACATAAAATCTCAGAAACTAATTTCTCAAGTTTACTCGAATCATCAAGCTCAAAACTTTCTTCATTAAATTCGCCTTCAATCAAATCAGATTGTGATTCGTTTCTTTTGATTTCAGATGATGATGCTGATGATGATGTTAAATTACTTTTGCTTTGGTTTGATGATCTAATGGATTCTTCTGGATCTATTTGATCTTGAACTTCTGCTTGTGGATAAGTATGGTTTGAAAATCTATAATTTAAATGACTTGATTGGTTGGATTCCATTGAATGATGAGTTTCATAATTTTGCATTTGTTTTTTTGGTTTTGTTGGGTTTATAATTTGATGATGATGATTGATGATAGTGTTCTTGTCAAGATATAAGTGGTTGTTATTGAATAGTTGATATTTAGTTTCGGTATGTATCCAGTTGAGCTTACCCAAACACTGGCAGTCGATGGTTCATAACTTCAGGATGAACGATCCAGTTTCGATTGAGTTGAATCATCCAAATGAGGTTTTAAAGAATGTTGTTTTTAACAACTGAGTTTTTCACACACACAACCCTATTTCAATTAAGGCCCTATTAGTATTAGGCCCCGATGGATAGTCCGACTCCCGGGTATAAACTGGATCATTTTTTAAATAAATCTTGGATGTCTGATGATCAAAAAATACTACATACTCCATCATAATAATCATTAATATCATGATCTGGTTTTTGATCATTTCTTCTTGGGATACATCTTTGGCTTTGGTTTTAACTTTTATATAGCTCTGACCTGTTCATGCTCCAGGTAAAAGATCTCCCCTTTAGCTATGTACTATAGACTGCCCAGTGCCAATTCATCCTAATTGATCTCTTTCACAAATAAGTTTTGCTTGATACCAATTGTGTTTTTATAGCAAACTGCTTTGAACAATGAATCCATGAATGTGTCCTCGCAAGAGATGGTAATAAGTCAAAGACACTGAACAGACATGAGCATCTGCAACATGGATTTTGATAGTAGTCTCTGAGCGTACAAGTAAGCCATTTGGTATCAAGCTCAGTGGTTTTGATAAGAGGTTTGGCTTGATGTAGTTTTAGTCCTGCACAAGTTATGGCAACTAGTCATGAGAGCCGGAAGTGAAATTTATGGCTTGCCAATCCATGCACCTTGCAAGTGTTGCAGAAAAAATATATGATGAGATGGAAGTTGGTTTCAAAAGCGCTTGTCAAGTTTCACTTTATATCACCATTTTATAACCTTCAGATCCATTTTGTTGTACATATGTATACCAAGAAAATTGATGACCCAAAAACCACAATTGATCAGTTTTAATCAGATTGGTGAACAAGTTTTTGTACAAAAGATGATCAACTTTTCAAATGATTTTTTTCATACAAATCGTTCAAATCAGCTTTTTTTTTGATTCAATTCAGCTTTTTTTGAAGACCGAATGTTTTTCTAGTAAACATACAGTCAAACCGGAAAAACTTGCCACCAATTCCCCGCCAATTTGCTCGAGTTTTGCGGGCAAAATCGGTCAAGCTTTTCTGGTTTGACTGTACAAGATGCAAAAGAAATCGAGAGTTGAGATAAGTAAAAGTTTAGAAATCATGTATGTACCATCACGCCATTACATATCTTAGATCACCTGTGTGATAAATCAAGTAGATATGTGTGTATCTGAAAAGAGATTAAAGCATGATTGAATTTTGATCGGAAATCCGGGATATTAAATTGAAAAAAGTCATATCCCCATGAGGAATAAGGAATGAGGAACATGAATGGATGAAGGATTGAAGATGATCTCCGCTTGTAGAGCGAGATTTTGAAGATTTTAAGGGAAACAGCACGGAAAGAAAAATATCTTGTGTATATTTGAGGTTCTTCTGGCTTGTGGCTCTCGGATAGATCTGTAGTCAAAGAAAAAAAACTCTTGAAAATGAAAAAGTAACAAGCGTGTTTCAATTTGTTGGTTGTGACTGTGGGGGACTGTGATGATGATGATGATGATGATGATCTATGAGCGGAGAAAAGCAGATTGATAGAATTAATCCTTAAAGTCAGAGGATGAGGAGAGCGAGATCATGATAGAGATCAAGTTGGATGAAAACTTCAAGGCTTTGGATGGTTTATTTTTGGATCAAGATCTACGTAGGACAAACAGCAGAGGGAATTTCTTAAGATCAGTCCCCGCCACTGTCCACCGCTAGGAATCAGGATGATGACATGAATGAAAGCAGTTTACCGAATCCTAAATTCTCAAGTCACCCAAATCCAATTCAATTCGATTCAACTTGACTCCATGACCAAACCAACATCAGAATTTACAAAATCAATTCGATCCAAAAGCCATTGAGAACATTCATGATCTTGTGTTTTGTTTTGAGCCACTTTGTACTTTACTTTTTTCATGATCAATGCTCTTCTTTATTCATCTGTGCGGTGGGTTTCTTTGCACCTTCTTGTATTTAGAAGGTTTTTTTTGACCAAATACTCAGTTGTGATTTCCACTTCTTTCTGACCAAAAAAAAAAGAACAGCTCAATCTATCGAATTGGTTGTCAATCTTCACTCTCAGATTGATTTCTCTCTCTCTCTCTCTGTGTGTTTTGTTTTAAAAGAGTGGTGTTTAGACCTTCATTTTGGTACAATAATTTAATTCAAATCAAATAGAAAAACGAGTTGGGGCCTTTTTTTGGTCAATCTTCATCTAAACTTTTTTTTTCGGTCCTTCTTCTTTCCTCTGTCTTTCTATCGAAGCTTCTCCTTCTCATCCTGTTCCTTCTTCAAGTGGTTCATTTGATATTCATCTTCTTTTTTTTTTTCAAATTCATCCATTCAGATCCAAAATAAAATACAGATTGTTCAAAAGTTTACAAATCTTTAGTCTAGTTCTTTAAAAAATCAAATTTGGTACCTTTCCTTCCCTTGACCTTTGATTTGTTGACTTGACCTTCTGAACCTTTGTCTACATACACAAATTCAAGAAGTGATCATCAAAGGTCTTTTTTAGTTCTTTAACGATTTCTCCCTTTTTTTTTACAACGATCAAGTGTTTTGGGTTTTCCTCTGTAGAACTATATAAAGTCTGCTGGATTTTCAAGTTTACCTGAAAATTAACTTTAAACTGTAAAACTGTCTAGACACTTCTACTTACCATCTAACAACAATCCCAATCAAATCCTATCACATATTAATAATCATTCACCCGTCAACTTTCATCCTTTCAAATTCGCCAACTACCTTATCTCTTTATAGTCCATTAAAACGACTTTGAGGTTTACCTTTTTATAATTTGATTTAGCTGAGTTCTGTAAAACTTCTTCATCAAGATTTATCACTTGTGAGTGTTTCATCCAATCATCCGGATTTCGATCACGTCACTCAAACTAAAATAGGCAGTTTTTTTGTAGACGCGTTTCTCACCAAAAGACGAAAAAAAATCATACATACACCTAAACCGAGACATCAAACTTCGAAGGAAGTGTACTAAAAAGATGATCATGTTCAATCGATCCTTGGTCGATGCTAATGCAGCTATCCCCTCTCACCTCCACCCTGTAGCACTTCGATCTACTGCTCATGCTTCTAATCCTCAAACAGCTGCAGTCTCTCAATTAGCAGAAGCTCAACTTAGAGCTTCTAATTCGATTTCCGATCATTCTTCAACTTCAACTCAACCTACTCCTTCAACTCCTTCATCATCATCTTCTTCTTCATTATCGTTTGTTTCAGGACCAAAGGATGGGATCTCTGGATTACCTATTGACCATTCTGTTTATCCGCTTCTCTCGACTATTGATCCATCTGCTCCTCATGCCAATTCGATCAAGCTTCTTACGTGTTCTGATTATGCCAACCTCTATCATGCCTATCTTCGTTCCACCGCCAATGTAGACGAATCAAAAGTGTTTCCTTACCTACATTGTCCAGATCGAGCAGGAACCTCACAGTCTACGTACTTTTCACAAGCTCATCATCATCATCCTCACTCTGTTGGTCCTACTCGAAGACCGCCTTCGTATCGTGGACTTACCGTCATCACTGCCGACTCAGTTGCCGGACCACGTAATCCTACGGCTCGTCACCGTACGCGTTCTCTTGGATCGACTTCTACTGCCTCTGCATCATCTGTCTCCTCTTCGGCTCCTCTCTCATCTGCAAGCTCTCCGGCTACCTCAGTTGAAGGACCTGAACCACGCGCTTCTCTTCTTGTCTCAGCCCTTGCGCCAGACGAGATACTCGAACGTAGTGCAAGAACAGGAGATCTGATGCCAAGATTTATAAGACGACCTATGCCTTCGAGCTCAGTCAACTTGAGGTTGTTTGGACATCAACCAGGTCAATATGCAACGGTTTCGGATATTGTGATTTACTCTGAATCAGGAGTGAATGAGACGGTGATTGAATTGGCGCGATTGGTAGTAGAAGCCCAAGCTCAGTTTCGAAAATTTCAACAAGAACAACATTTGGTAGATGATTTTCCAGATTATCATGTGTTTATTGTTAATGAAAGATTTGAAGGATTCGAAAAGGAATATGGTGAATTGGTGGCTGTTGATGGTTGGGGCTTTAGGCGTTCAAAGGTGGATTTTTTTGAAAGAGAACGGTTAGAGATGGAGTCTTTAACGCGTGCATCACGAATCGAAGAAAATATTTGGGTATGTCTTTTCTATAAGATCTGTCTTGAAGAGTTTGTATGAGTTGGTTGACCGATTGATTTCTTTTTCTACGTATCAATAGCTTGGCAATACGGCTGATGCGATGAGAGATGAAGAGGAACTCAGTCCTCCTCGGTTCTCTATTATGATTGAAGCTCATGATTCGGCTAGGATCTTAAGCTCATCGGAACTCGAGAGCTTATTTCCAACCTCTCTCAACTCTTCAACTTCTTCGCAGTCATCTGTTTCATCCCCTGCAATCACAAGACCTCCATTGCACTTGGAAGTGCCTAGTACCGGTTCAGCCTCTGGTTCAATGTCTATGGAACAACTCGTACGATCTCTTCAAGAGTTTTGTGCTTGGGTGTCTAGAGTGACGCGTGATGGTCACCAGATCCTCGTCCATTGTCATGACGGATAGTCAGTCTCTTTTTATCTTGACTTTCTTTTGCTAAAACCAATATCTAAACCAAATCCTTTTGTTTGATTAGTACCGAGACGAGCTTGTTCGGGCTTGCCTATACCATCTATCGTCAACGTATTCCGTTATCTGATGCTTATCTACATCTTCAACTTCATGCTGGTCGTTCATTCTTCCTCTACCCATCGGATCTTACTGTTCTACGATACTTTGAAAGACGATGTTCAACTTCAGATCCAGCTTTGAGCCCGATCCCAAGAGGTGCACGTTGGTTAGAGGATGGGTTTGAAGGACACTTTCCTTCACGTATCTTACCTTTTCTGTATCTTGGTAATTTATCACACGCCAATAACCCTTCGATGCTTCGTGCATTGGGTATTACTGCGGTGGTCTCCATGGGTGAAAGTGCGCGATCATCGTTGGCTGAACGTGGCTTGGAGGTTTTGGACGTCAAGGCAGTTGCTGATGATGGACTTGATCGGATCTCTGCTCATATGCCAGCGGCGATGGAGTTTATTGAACGTACTCGACGTGCAGGTGGTAAAGTCTTGGTACATTGTAGAGTAGGTGTTAGTAGATCAGCTACAGTGGTGATTGGATATGTGATGGCACATTGTGATATTGATTTAGCCAGTGCTTATCTCTTGGTTAGATCAAGACGATTGAACATTTTAATCCAACCTAATCTAGTGTTTATGTGGGCCTTGAGAAGATGGGAATCACAATTAACTTATTTTGAATTGAGCAAAACTAATCAAGATATCATTCAAGGAGCCGCGATGGGATGTGATTGTGGGATTTGTTTTGATTCAGATCAAGAAGGAAACTTGAAGAAACTTAAGAGAAGAGTTGGATCGGCTGCTTGGACTTGGAGTTCACTTGCTTTAGAAATCTCTTTGTTAAATCAAAGGTATCTTTGTTGAAAATCAAAATTCAAATCCAAATTCAAATTCAATCTTTTTCTTTTTCGGTTTCTTTTTGATCCTCTTCTTTCTTTTACCGTTACTTTTTTTTCTCTTTGTGTCTTTCTTTTGTTTCTCTCTCTCTCTCTTTTTTTTTCTCTCTCTCTCTCTGTTTTTGAATGTTTCTAACTCGATGAATTAGTGGGTTTTTTTCTTCTTCTTATAGTATGTTTTAACAAGTTTTTTTTGTTTGTTTGATTTTTCCCCTTTTTTTTTTACTTATCTTTTGGTTTCATAAAACAAAATAGAAAAAAAGACAATTTGATTTTAATTTTTTTTTAATTAAGAAAAAAAAAACTTGAGCAAGATATAATATATATATATTGATATATACTTATATTTTTAGTGAATTTTTTTTTTCCATGATCATGATGATGATGATGATGTTTTTTTTGGCTTTTTTATTAAATTATTATTATGATATGTAATATTTTTTATGAATTTAGAATTTTTGTCTTTTGAATGATTGGTTTGGTTGGATTTTGAAAAAGAGTGTATAAGTATAGTTGGTTGATGTTTTTGGATTGAAAAAAAGGAAATAAGGTTTCTTTGTAATATATATAACATAGGTAAGTACATGAAGTGATGTGTTTTTGATGGATATAGATACATATATATACATACATATCTTATTCCAAGACATATGTAAAAGAGATATGTGTTTAGAATTCTCACTTGTCTTGATCAAAAAGAAATGAGTGAAGTTGTTATTTGAGAGAAAAAGGTCTGGATCGATTTAATTGATCAGTTTTTGGTGCATATGTATGTATTTATATGAGAAGATCTGAAAGTTGATTATAATGATTTTTTTGAGTGATTTGTCAATCTTATCTTGATATATATTCTTCATCTTTAACTACGCATAATCTTTCATTGATGATTTGTTTTTTGTCAGATTTATCTTGATTCATTCATCCTCATTTGACGTAATCCATATCTTCTTTTTTTATATCTTAGTATGCCAGGAAGATGTGTGCACAACATCCTCATAATGATACAGTCGACTCCCTCAAAACCCATACCTCTTTATGGAAACCCAAAACTATGGGTTTTATGGGTGTATGGTTTTGGAGGATCTCCCTCATAACCCATAGATTAAGGTTTAGCAGGTAAAGTATGGGTCAAGAGGGAGATTTTTTTTCAAAGAGTTGTTCAAAAAATCAATTTCCATATTGCTGTGTGATACCTACGGAAGCCGTGACGTGAAGTGACCGCCACCGTTTTTTCAAAACTTCGGTTTTCGGTTTTCGGTTTTTGGTTTTTGGAATTTGGGCATGTCCTTCAATTTTTGATACACACCACGGGCTACCATCACCGAGAACACCAACTGACACCATCACCACCACCAAGGGTTTATTCCACACTCGTATTTTCACTCAGCACCCACCACCGAGCATTTTTTCCACATCTGTCTTTTCACCACCAGCTAGCTATGTACGAACATCACCACCCACCACCGAGCTATCTTTTCACACTTGTCTTTTCACCAATCTAGCTATCACCACCACCACCCAGCTTGAGTATCTTTTATCAAAGTCCAGACTTGTTTCAATAAACTTGTAATCAACTTGGTATCATTCACAGTCAATGAACTTGTAATCAACTTGGTATCATTCACAGTCAATAAACTTGTAATCAACTTGGTATCATTTACAGTCACAAATCACCTTACCCCTCAATCAATCAACAACCTTTCTGATCAAAGAAACTGTTGGTTTTCCAAATAGGTTGAATTTTGAGGAGGTGATTGTCAAGATCAACCTCAATTGTTTGAGAACTCAGAATAATCAAAAATACTTGGCATACATTTTTTAAAACAGCCTCATGATTGAAATGTTGTAAGTTGTGTAAAACAATCAATAAGTAAGTGATACAAACTCTGTGAAATGATCAGGTTCCAGATTGTAATCACCATGATTTGTGATTATACTCTTTGCAATTCGAAGATACTTATGTAAATTTTTTGTTCAGATGAGGGCCAGCCAATTCAGCATTTTGATGTGTAGTTAGTGTAAGAATTAATGGATCAATAAGAAGTTAAAGAAGAAACTTCAAAGGTGAACACAATGAGTGTTGAGATAAGAGCTTTCAGAGTTAGTTGTGATGTGTAGTAGGATCGAGTGGATCAATTTTTTGTTGAGATAAGAGCAAGCCGATGGAGCTTTTTGATGCAATGGGTAGTTTAAACATTAGTGGTTCGATATGAAGTTGACGAAGAAATTTAAAAGGTTAACACAACAGGTGTTGAGATAAGAGCTCGCCAATTCGACTGTGATGTGTAGTAGGATCTATTAGTTTAATTTGAACTACAATACTTTGGTATTGATTGATACGATTGAAGTTGATAAGATTTGAGATGTGGTTTGATTGAGTCAAAGTCTGGATATTTGAAGGCACAAGAGTTGAATCGGTCGAGCAGTTTGACCGACTCACTGTAAATTGAGAGGGAGGCATGGTTGCTTTTCAAAAAAATTGAAGGAAATGCCCAAATTCCAAAAACCGAAAACCGAAAACCGAAGTTTTGAAAAAACGGTGGCGGTCACTTCACGTCACGGCTTCCGTAGATACCTGTGTTGTCCGTTGCTTTTCTCAGCAGCCCATTTCTTAGAACCTATAATATACAACAACTCATGTTTTCAGCAAGTGAACAGTTCAACAGGGCCCTTGAGGTTACAACTTACTGGCTTCTTTGGGTACCACTGATTGCTTTGTTTGATTGAATTTCAAAATCAAAAGTTCAAGTCTCTTGAGCTCTTCTTGAATTGAATTGCAGCCTTAGAAACATTGCCTTCTGCGTTTATCTTCCTCAACACCATAACTTTGTCTATCAAGTTGCCTGCCGAGTCCATGAACCTTTCATCCGCCTCTGATAATTCCTTCCCTGTGCTGAGCAGTTGGCGTAGTGGCTTAAGCCTTTTGTTGTTCTCTGTTTCAATATCTGATACGCTGAAGTTTGGGAGGTCTTTTGGAAGCATTTTGAGACACTTTCTGCTGAGAAATGATTGACCAGGTGGTTTTTACAAAAAAAACAAATTTTGCACTTTCTGGTTATGGCTTTTGAACCTGGTCTCCCTGAAAAGACCTATGGGTTATGGGAATAGTGTGAGGTATGGGTTTTAGGCCACTTTTCCCCGCCCATAAATTTTATGGACTCAATTTTCTATGGATTATCAGGAAGTATGGGTTTACAGGGATATGGGTTTTGAGGGAGTCGACTAGGGCTGTGACCCGGCCCCGGGGCGCGGCCCGGCCGCGAGGAAACCCGAGGGCCTTCAAAAATGGTTCAGGGCCAGGCAGGGCGCGCCCTGAACTTGAGGCCTAGGGGCCAGGCAGAGTCAGGCTTAGGTTTTGGGCACAAAAATCATGAGTTGTACAGCTTGGGATGATCGGCAGCCCCGGTGCCCGACCCGCCCAAGCGCTCTCAGGGCGCCTTTGTAAGTAAAACACGTGACGTTCTGCGGCCCTGGGGCGCGGACCGCAAGCTCTCCAGAGGTCGCCGGGCAGACTCGGCCGGGCGGGGCCGGGTCCGGGTCGCAGCCCTAGAGTCGACTGTATACACATTTCTCCTGGATTGTATGTTTTTTTTTGAGTTTTGGCATCATCATGCTTGATGGGTAAAGAAGCGTGTGGGGTAGGGCATCAGGATTATGTTTGATATACAGCTGTTCCAACAAAGATTGATTTTTTTGGGAATCTCGCCAATGTGCAAAACCCGGGTTTTGTCCCTCACTTGATTTTGTCTCTCCGCTAATTGGAAGAATACAGGAAATAATAAACCTGTAATCAAGTTTTGTCTTTGGTTTTAGCCGCTGCGGAGACAACTTTCTCCAAAAAAAAGTTGTCAACCTTTCTTGGAACGGCTGTATTATGAAGCTTCAAGTTACAGTCAACTCCCTCCAAACCCATACCATTCTATGGAAGCCTAAAACTATGGGTTTTATGGGTGTATGGTTTTGGAGGATCTCCCTCATAACCCATAGATTAAGGTTTGGCAGGCAAAGTATGGGTGAAGAGGGAGATAAAAAAATCAACAAGCCAATCAAAAAAATCATTTTTTCATATTCAACTTGGAATAGATTGCAGCAAAGTGGCACACAGTCTTAGATGATTGCAACCATTCCGTTTGTACACGTCCCACACCTAGGATTTGTAATCATCGGGTTTGCAACAAGCCCTGGCCCCGCCGCTGCAGAACCTGAACAATTACGTAAACCACTTGGAGGGGACTGTACTTGAATTTCCCAACCAAAAGTTCAAGTCTCTTCAGCTCATCAATGTTGAGTTGACTGGCAGCCTTAGCCGCATTTTATTATGCTATGATCTTCCCCAAAACAACTCTTTACCTTTCCAGCACAGTCTATGAGCCTTGTATCTGTCTACAACAATTTCTTCCCTCCACTGATAGGTTGCTTGAGAGGCTTGAATCTTTTGTTATTCTCTTTTTGTAGGGCATTGAAACCTGTTTTGATATCTGACATGCTGAATTGCAAAAGGTCTTTTGGAAGCATTTTAATACTGGCTATGCTGAAAAATACACAAGGATGCAGGTTTTTTTCAAGCTGTGGCAAATTTTGGTTATGGCTTTTGACCTAGGTTTACTGCAAAAAACCTATGGGTCATGGGAATAGTGCGAGGTATGGGTTTTGGGCCACTTTTCCCTGCCCATAAATTTTATGGACCCAAATTTCTATGGGTTAGCTGGAAGTATGGGATTAGAGGGATATGGATTTTGAGGGAGTCAACTGTACATATGTATCGTGACGAAAGTGCACACTGCAGGGACACAGTTACAAGCCAAGACCTGCAAGAAATCCCACATAGTTCGCAACCTGTGGTATTGCTACAAGGCTGAGCATAGCCACACCGTATAGAACAAAAGTCACTGTTGCGATCGCAGCTGCTTGTGGGTGGTTATCCATCAGTGTGGCAGTTCCAATGGCACCACCGATGACTCCAAGTGTAGCACCAATAGTGAAAGAATCATCTGAACCAGCTTTGGTACGGACGCGAAGTAGAGCAAAGAGTAGATCTTTGGTCAAGACAGCCTGAGGACAATTAAAAAAAATCTTCAGTCATCAAGACTTGAGCTTCAAAAAGGAGAAGGTCAATAAACAATCAACTAACCAGTATTCCTGTGACACAGATAAGCACAACCACTAAGCTTTGATCACCACGAACAGCGCTTAACATCTGGATTCCAAACGGAGTTGACAAGAAACGGCCAGCAAACGAAACACCTCTATCGGGGGCAATACCCATTCGATGGGACATGTATGGCCATAACAATAATGATACAGCACAATTTGGCAGAGTGACAAAGATGATCTTGAACATATTATCATATAAGCCTTGACGATACTTGAATAAAGGAAATGCCAAGCTTATCTGAGAATAAATGTGTAAGATGACGAGAATTTGAGTTTAAGCTTCCCGATTGAAATTCGTAAAGAATGTCTCTTTCCACTCACGATTCCAGCAACAAGGATGCTCTTCAGCACGTCACCTGCCCCAGGTGCGTCTATGGCAACACCACGACTATGTCGAAGGATCAGAAGATAGGTGGTCCCGGATGTAAAGTGTGATAAATCTATGAAGATCAAGTCAGATACAATCAGTTCTTTCGTATTTAAAAGACGTAAGGATTCATACCCACTTTCAACCAAACCGATTCCTTTCATCGCACCAAAACCCCAAATGCACAAGACGGTGATGATACTGGTGACTAAAATCGGATGCAAAGCTGTCTGCCAAAGTTTCGGGACAACCCTTCTACTGAATTGCCATGATAGAGAAAGTGTTGAAAGAAACAATGGAAGACTTCGAGGATTCCCACCAGGGGTAAAATAGAGCGGAAGCCCAACCAGAAAGACACAGAAGTATACGAGTGGATTGAACCAGAGCTTGATCTTGGTGGTGAACTCTTCTTCTGTAGAACTAAAATCAGGATCGTTTTTGGTAGTCTTGATCGACTTGGCTGATCCTGCATCACCCTTGAAGAAGGAAACAGTCGGTAAACCACGATTTCATGTCATAGTAGCCTCTTTTTCATATGGAGATAAGAAATATACACACATCTCCCTTTTCTGGTTCAAAACAATTTGGGCCTCGATTAGAGTGATCTGACGAAGTAGAGCCCGACGAGCCATGGCTGATATGACTATCTTAAGCCAGATGAGAGGTCAATTTCCTGTGCTTATGTTTAAACCCCCGCATCAAGAACATGAAAATCTGACCTCTGAGATGTATAAGCTTGTGACGATATGACATTCCTATCGGCTTCGTGATCAGATGCTTGAGATAGTGTCATCACATTGATGCAAACAGCATCGGCCGCACCAGATGAGCTCTTCTTTGCATCCGATTCTCGCACATCGGTAGTGACAAGATTTTTGTTTTGATCTTCCTTTGTAAGAAAGGTTACCAATTTGCATAAAAGTACCGTACCAATCCAAGTGATTAAAAAAGCAGGTAGAAACATGGCACACAAGAGCCCAATTTCCCCAGCTGAAATCGCGGGTCTCGTTGGAATTCTTGAAAGTATGAAGAAGAAAAAAGTGTGAGATCATTCTGAGTCTTTCAACAATTTAACTGGATGATCACTCACAATATGAATGATGGGGTAAAGAATACTCCCATATTACCTATAGTCCAATCCGCAGCTGGGCGCAAGCTTGCGTTTATGAACCGAAAAGCACGGTCTGGAGAGAATCGATGGGTTATAACAAGGATTATATATAGAATAATCATACCGATAGCCTGTTGAGAAGATGAGAGATTAAGAATGTTTTTCCTATCAGAGAGCTCTAACACGGGCAGAGATGTTGAAGAAATTACGAGATCATCTCTTTCAGATTTGCATTAGTTAAAAAGACTAACAGTTGCTGGGAATTGAATTGGAAGTGGTTCAAGGCAGAGTTCTATGAGAAATGCAAATAGTAGCAAGAAAAGGACACCACATATGATGGTGATGTATGTGATAGCTAAAGCAGGACCATCTTCGCGTATAAACTGAATGGATGAGAAACAAAATAATTACAAAACACCCACATACTGATTAGATAAGTGTACAAAAGTGATACCTATCCGGAATCAAAACACGCACTTTAAGCAAAGCCCTGCAAAAGATAGTAAGGGGTATGGAAATGAACTTCATGATGCGATTAGGTGGGTGAAACCTTGATCACAGATAAGCCGTCGAGTAAGTTCTTCGGAATAATCATTCACCCGGGTCATAGGTCGTATGAATCGTGAAAAGAAGAAAGAACGGTAAAAGCAGATGAAGGATGACCGAAAGTCTAACAGCTCACAAAACGGACGATCATTACTTCCAGGTCATCGAGCCGTCTTATATGTTAACCTCACTGTGAAGCCGGACCCTCTAATATTTTTGAAAACACCAAAGTTGCGATGCGGTTGAAAGTGTGCGATCGGCACCAGCAGCTCGATGAGTAGATAGCATTTCTACTAATCAATCCGTTTGCCAAGCTTGACTTGAATTAGCTGACCAAACTTATATGCGACGACGGGACTGATTTTGAAGCTAAGAGTTATAGCTCGTGGAGGCCTTCAAGGATTACGTTGAGGAAATTCATTCACATCAATTCCTACGACAACATCAAGATGATATATGTAACCTGCTGTGGAGGTGTAGCTTAAAGAACGATCAACGACGGAATGTGGGCAAGCACAGCTGAGTTACTCAATTTCGGTCCCTAAACGAGCTTCCGTTGTAAACCTTGACTTCTTCGACCGACATCAGAAGTTCTACGCGCGAAGCAACTCTCCTGTCTACTTTGTTCTCGTTCGAGCTCATTAGATTTGAGCCATTATTGTGATGCCCCACGTCGGACAGCACCAATGCACACGCAGGAGTGTATGTATGTACATGAAGTTAAAAGGGTTCACCCGACGATCTAGCAACGGGAACGATGTCATAGAGTTGGAAAACGGGCATCTAATTGGGGTGCCATAGGGCACGTTGTTTAGCTTACGATACCTCCTTCCCTAAAGTGAAAGAATCCAGTAGTATCGCTTCTAGAGATGAAGTGAAGCTGCCTCGGTCACCGATCTGGCTACTTACATTGTCCTCTTCACTTTCAGTGACTGAGCGTACGGAAGAAATAATCACTTCCAAGCTTCAAGGTGAGAGGCGTTACCGATCTTCTCGAACTGCTACTTTGTCGAGCCTATCAATCCACGAGTGAGTTTCTCATCATAGTAGGATGCCAATCAACCACTCATGAATTCCAGAGGAAGTAAAGCCTTACTCTCTCGCCCAAAGTTGTACTGTTCATTATTATCATGTAAAAGGCAGACCAAACCTTCAATAGTACACGGTCACCCCACCAGGGAAGATGAGTAACATTGTATGTATAACAAAGGTAATTCCTCAAGGGATATGAAAACACCTTCTCAAGAAAAATTGGTCAAACAGGAAGTGGAGATAGAATCAGAGTGATCAGATAGCTTACACTAATGATTTGTATTCCTCATTCTTGTAAAGGCAAATACCTTTCTGTAGGTCTTTCCAGGACTCAATTATTTGATACCAGGCAGTAGAACCTTCATATAGAAGAAAAAGGGAACTCAGCCAATTGGCATCCTCTAGATCATTGCCCCATATCCAACTCTCTCTTTTGAATCTAAGAGCACAAAATTGGCCAAATTGATTTCATGATGAGTATCTCAGCCAAAGATTGGCTAACCCCCAGACCTATACAAGCTCAGTTCTGGTACAGAAATTTTCAACAGAACTTGGGTTAATATTTTGGGTAAATAGTGTCATAAAGGTACATAGAGTTCACACTACATATGCAAGGTCTGCAACTTTTACATTTAGATTATAGGGACTTCACAAAGATAGTGGTATCTGAACTAGTGTAATTCATGTACTTCAAATCTTGTGCAAGATGAAAGATTGAAGTTCAAGCAGGAAAAACATGTGGTCATTTTGTGGTTCAGAAGCAGAGTTTTTGAATACCAAAGGAAATCTATGGTCCAAAAACAATTGAGCTCTACTGAGCTTTCTACTGTGATAATTTTCTATGCAAAACCATTTAATTTCTGAGATTTCAAAATTCCAAGCTCCACCATACCTCAATTAAACTTTGGATCAAAGAACAATATTTCATTAGGAATCGAGGTTGAGACCATTTTTATCTCTTGGTACAAAGTGGGCATGTAGATGATTTGAAGCTTGAGTGACAAATACAGTTATGCAGAGACATGTCCTGTGATGTGAAGTACAGAGTCAGATTATAAATAAGGCTATATTCACACAGGGAACAAAGAGCCATCCCCCCTGGAAGTCTGATTACATCTAATGCAGTTACTGAGTCAAAATGCAGAAAAAATGCAAAAACGATATGTTTTGACACAGTATCTGCATTACATGTAATCAGTTGTCCCACAAGAAGACAGCCCTTTGTTCCCTGTGTCAGGGCAAACATTTCCATGAAGTCAATGAGCTTACATGAAGACATTTCTTATGAACCTTGGAATTTATACCATGTCTCAGCTTGACAACATTGTTTTTATGATAGATAGGCTTCATGCAGATAACACATTGTTGACTAGTTCCTTTTGATTCAGGCATCTTGACAGTGAGCATACAGGAGTGACCTAGAACAGGGAAATGTCAATGGGACTCTTCATTTTGAAAGCTTGAGATTTAAATTCTTCTAGTGAAGCTGACAACAAGATTAAACACCCAGTATGACTTACTGTTCCGCTCCACTTTGCCATTGAGATATGATTCTGCACCATCAATGTAAACTGAGATGCGTGAGAGTAGCTGGAGTAACACTGCTTCTGCAGTGGCAGTCTCTTCAGATTGTGAGATATCCCATCTTTGATGGTCCTTTTTAGCGTGGATCATTGTATCAATTGCCTTTTTGATATTGCATATATTCATATTTTCAGATTTTAGGAATGGGGTGATAAGCTTGTCAAAGGGCCCAATAGTGGCTTGTTTTAGCACCAGCCTAATATCCTGGAATAGGTCTTCAAATTCACATCTCTCCTTGAAGGAAGCATCTTGTGATTTTTGAACCACCATAAATTCTCTAACTGTTGGGTAGATCTCTGCATAGTCATGAAGTATCATATATGCCAGTCCCTTCTCTACATCTACCACATGCTTGTGCCCTACATGTGCTGCACACCGTAACAAGAAGCTCTGAAAAGTTCCAGCCTGCATTGGGCAGCCCTCCTGTAAAAAATCATCATAGATTTCAACCATAAATTTAGATGATTTGGTGGCTTCATAGTTGTTAAATTGGAACATGAGCCAGTCAATGAATTTCAATCTGATAACGGCTTCTGCTATGGCTTTATAATTGATCATACATGAAATTAGCTTGGGGAACACAATCATAAAAAATAAAGAAGACACTTGCATGATTCAATCTCCACCAGCTCAGGCTCCCTCTCAGACTCCCACAGAGACTCACTAGCACTTAGAAGATTTAATCCTATATATATAAAGTAAACATTAAGAGTTATGAATTCATGCTGATAAAAACTAAGGACTTGAGATATTTAATAATTGCATACCCTTGGTAAGATAAAGCTGCAGGGCAGCATGACATATGGGCCCCTCAGACATATCAATACATATGGGAATCAAGTCACCATTTGGTAGATAGCCTTGAAGATGTTTTAAGACTGCAAGTGCCCAAATCCTTTCCCTTGGATGTAAGTTGTAATCTTCTAGTATTCCAATCAACTTTTCAACAGATTTTTCAAATGGTTTACCCTTTATGAAAACCTGTGGGGAGAATCTCTCTTTCCCCCATGGGCAGGGTCTTTTCCAATATGAGGCTAGACAATCTAAGCCCAGACATAGAGACCAATATCTTGGAGTTTTTTTGTTCAAGCAGAGGATCCTTCTGAATTCATCATTCCTGGACAATGGGGGATTCTTTGTGATTGATCTGGCGTTTTGAGAGTGTGAACCCAGTGCTGACTTTGGTTTGGGTTGAATATTAAATGGTTTGAAAATTTCAATCTTCCTTGTCAGCTTATAGCCTCTGGATTCCTGGTCAAATTTGAAGTGGGGAGTAATTGGACATGAAACAGAGAAGCAGAGGATGAGAAATTTGAAAGAAAGATAGAGTGAGTATTCCCTGATTTTCATAGTAAAAGGGTAAGTTTGAAAGGAACAAAGAAACAGAACAGAAGAGGTGTATATCCAAGACACACATTGATAAAACTCATAATAAGGTTAATCATGTTGAAAAATACTTCATAGTAATATGCAACAGATGCATACCTCTGAAGCATGTTTTCAAAAATGAATTCAAAAAAATCTCAACTACACCCAGCTGTGTGGGACAATGCACAATGCTTGTATGTCCTTGTTGACACAAATTTTAGGGGTATCCACTGGACATTGTGGAGATGATCCTATCACAGTACCCCAAGGACACACATCTTGGGTATAGAAAGTTTGATAAACAAGAAAAAGAAGACAAAAAATGTTGACAAATGGTGCAGATACACTTATTGCTAATCTTTCATACTATCAAATAGCAGAAGGAAAGAGAGATGATTCACCTGTGAATTATGCAAAATTTGAACAATGAGTAGGAAAAAGAATTGTTGAAGATGATTGAAAATGAGCACAAGTTCAACACAATTATTGTTCACATTTAATGTTTAACACAGAAGTTATAAGAGAGTTGAGATATGTCCTTTGTGCATATCTTCAGGCTGTTTTGGAGTGAAAAAGGTGCCATCAAGTTTGAAAGTTTCCCAGTAAGCTGAACCGGAGTCAACTCAAAACCTGGTGTCCCCCCTGATTTCAAGTGTTGGGGTGCAGCCCACCCAGGGCCAGCATATGTGTTCAATATTTGAAATGGTTTCAAGATGTGTTAATTTCTATCAATACTTGTAGTAATGTATCATACTTGGTATGGAAGCTAATAGACACCATCCTCTCTTGATATTCTAAATAGACTTCACACTGACCCTCTAAATATTCTCCTCAGAGTCCATACTGAATCTGCTATTGCTTACTACTTATTGGTGATCATCTGTGAAATCCTTATCACTTGTGATCGAAGGGAAAAAACCAAATGTGGAAAGTGTGGTTCTAAGAGCTTCTGTGTTCTCCTTTGGTGCCAGTTCCACTGAAATTCAAACTTGCTCCCTGTCAGAAGTAATTTGGTAGTATCAAATTATAACAAAGGAGAATTTGTACTCAACAAAACTGTGGTAGAATCTGAGCCCCATATATGACATCTACTTGGTAAGTTACAGGCTCACAACTTTGTCAAAGGTATGACTCACAAGCATAAATGTTACCAGAAACCAAGTGCCAACACCAGACTATATCCTTTGTGGGACAGTACACTTTCTAGCTTATCTGAAATCAGTATTGATTCAATGCTTTCCCAGGTAGATCTGATCAAGTGATGATTTAGGATTTCATGAGTGAAGTATTCCTATATGCAACATTGGATTCATCTTCCAGGTTAGGTTATTTAATATTCCAGAAGACTGATACATGCAAGTTCTTGAAAAGTATTTCATCATGGGCAGGAGGTCAATTCCCTGTTATCTATATATGATGACTAGCCATATTGGGAGGTGGGCGCCGCACTCACAAAAAGGGCTTGGTTTGGTGCAATTCACATAGAATACTGGATCATATGCTGGATCATATATCACTCAAGGAGGAAAGGTTATTTGGGGGAGATTGTGTGTCAATAAGCACACTTATTGAACTAGTAAGTGGAACAATAAAATGTTCAGAAAGGTATGAAAGTTGATCTAAAAACTTATAATCAAACAAGAGAGTAACAAAGGCGGAAGCGCAGAGCGTGACTATTACTAACCAAAGAGGTTTTAAAGATTAATTCAAAAGGTAGTTGGAGTAATATGGATGTGGTGGTAGCTTGAAAGCAGTTTGTAAACTAATGTTTGATTAAATTGATTGATTAAAAGATAAAGATCAAAAAGAAAGTAGAAAAACAACAAGGGTTTTATGCCTATGCCAACTCCAGAAGTGCACACAGATGTTTGTAATATTATTGATTGTTTTACATAGGTATGACACACCTTTTAGGAATTCCGCTGTCATGACTGATTTGTGTAATTCAAATCAAGCTTTTCCTTGAATGCAATAATTCCTCCTCTCAAGTGTCATCCAATAAATAAGTCAGTCATTCACCCAATCCAGTTATACAAATTCCCAGACCATCAGACAACAATCCCCTTATGTTGTTATCTGGAAGGTTTTAGATGTATTGAGACTTGAGTTGGGTCATCACTCCAAATCAACAATCAGAACTGGAAACTCAAACTTCCTTAATTAATTCAGTACCACTTTCACATGACTCCTGATTATTAATTAAGATTAAAAAAGAATGTATAGAACTTAAACAATGTATGAATTGAAAAGAGCAAAGAATAATTATGAAATATTATGAGAAAGGAAGAATCTTACTCGAGTATGAGCATTCTTGTGTAGTTCTTATGTGTTTGCATGTGGTATTAAGGTCTTTGTATGTTATCCAGGAGATAAGTTACTTAGGCTACTTATGCCCTGGCTGACATTGTGCCTTAAACCAAAGTAGAATCTATTTGATAACTTGATTGAGATAACTTTATATATTATGGGCAACACAATGCCAGCCTGAGTATATTGTTTTTCCAAACTAAGTAGCTATTTTGGTCACACTGGATCCATAACTGAGGTGTATGTCACAAGAGTTAAACAGAGCACCCCTCTTGTGATTTGATTGGGGTGTTGTTGTGTTTGATAGCAGCCTCCTGTCAAATGGAGCATAGATGCTGTGGTATAGCTTGCTAATATGGATATGAGATCAATTTACCATACTTAGCAATACTTTGGTGTGATCTTATCCAGATTGAAAGTGACACTGGATATTAATCCACAATTCTTGAATAGCTACACTAATTCAAGATTGTGCATACTCTGTCCATTCTGAGCTGCCAAAACAAAATGTTTTTGTGGCTTGCCCAGTGGAGAAAAATAGAGCTCTTTCAATGCAGTATACCAATAAGTACTACTACTGCTACTTGGGTCCAATGGTGCACATCCTGCGCTATGTAAATCAGAGGTTGCAGCAGACGTCTGAATTGCTGCAAAACTGCTTCAAAACCGCTATATATCTTGAAGCGGTTCTGGTATTTACTCAATGTTACCCTAACTCAGATTTACACCACACTACACACAAGGACATTTATCAAACCAGTCAAATGAGCTTGTTAAGAAAATGTGATTTTTTGGAAAACTTTGAACAGATCAATTTTTTTTGGATCCCACTATTTCTCGCCCCCTTCTCAAGTATCCGTCGCCCCTTGTCAGACCGGAGATGGGGCGACAAACATTCAGTTGCCCCCTTTTATGAAAGGGGCGACTAAAAAGGGGCTACTGATTTAATATCATTTTTTGCTCCCATCCTCCCTCTAGTGGATGGATGGCGACTGTATTTGTATTAGCTAGCTACCTTTGTAAATACAATCACTGGGGCCAGGATCTAGTTGGATCATGGCCTGCCCATCGATCAAAATACAGAAGCTTCTCATCAGAACAAGAGAAAGATGTTCTCATCAGAACGAGACCAAAAGGAACAAGCAATGGCATAAAAACATAGATTAAATTGGCATGTTTTGCTCCGATTAGCCTGATCTTGTAGGTGATCTTGTACGTGGAATCAAGACAAAGTGTGGAGAATCGTTTCCGGTATCAATCAAGATTTGAGTGGATGATGATCTTCAGTAAGTGATATTTTTAATATATTTAATCCAATCTGTCACCAATCTATCTCTTTGTTCTGGTCTATCATGAAGGCATAATTCTCGTCTGATCAAAACGGATGAGGCGAAGTTGTCTTTTGCGCCACATTGACAAAAAGGGGCGCAAAGTAGAAGAATAGGGGCAGTTAGGTATGGTTTACCGTGAGAACCTGCCAGAAGTGGTAGCCCCTAATCGCCCTTGCGGTCCGAGTCACCAAAAATTTGGCTGGAGATGCTTGGGTTGCATCGGGGATCACGGGTAATACCCCAAACCAAGGGGGCAACGGGTACTTGAGAAGGGGGCAAGAAATAGTGGGATCCTTTTTTTTTACTAAAATTCCCACATTTTGGGACCTAAGCATATATTTAGGCTGTATACTGCTATTAGATGTAGTACCTTAGGCCCACTTACTTAAGTGCTTAACCACTCTGGTTGTGGGTGTGGCACAAAAAACATGCTTTTGGAATGTCTAGGTGTTGTAACAATTGACAAAATCGGGATTGGCACACCTTTTCAAGAATCACACCAAATCGTAAGAGTCTTAAGTCCTGTCACCAATATTGGAGACTTGGATACTTGCTGTGAGCTTTGATGATATATCTTTTTAGCTTTTCCCACCTTTAAAAGGCAATTCTGCCGCAGTAGATAGCTCTAGCAATACAAACATAGAGGAAATAAAAATACAAAAACATCATCTTGGCTTTTGGCAATTTTTTTGCAAGAAAACACACCTGGTGGGCCAAGTGGCACCTAGGCGCGGAAAAACCAAAAAAACACGCCTTGGTGCGCCTATAAAAATATGAGCGCGCCCACAACCTGATTGACCGCTCTAGCTGTAACAAAATTTGACCATCAAATTGGTTCATTTACCGTCTCAAACTGCTTTTGACTGGTTGGAAGTCTGTTTGGCCTTGAAGAATCTCCTCTAAGCTCTGGAGGCTTTACTGAAGCAAATTCTGGTATAATTTGATGGGCTCTTGAAGATTTGAGGAAGCTAAAAAATATTTTTTAAAAATTCAAACCCCTAAAATTGGGACCAGCACTGGGTCCAAAGGGTAGCTGGATTCAGCCTTTAGCAACTGTAGGCTTGGCACCTGGTCATCTCCAATGCCCAGCCAGCCCACACCGTAACAAAAAATAGGTTTCTGCTTGTGTCCAAGTGGAGTTTTTGTAACACATTTCAGTGCACTAATGCTGAACAGGTCTTCCCAAAGGGTAGCTGGATGAACACTTTAGCAACTGTAGGCTTGGCTCCTGGTCATCTCTGATCCACTTCAGCAAAAAAACCTGAACAAACTGCAACTTGGCTGATTGTTGATGTTCCAACAAGATGGAACTCTTCATATCATGTGTTCCAATGGCTTTTGCGTCTCCAAGGAGCTTGCAACAACTTCCAAAAGGAAACAGACTTAAGTATTCAATCTTACCGCACAAGTGGGATTATGTCCAGCAAATGTGTGATTTTTTGGAACCCCTCAGCAAAGAAACTGAGATCCTTTTCAAGTCAAAGTACCCA